CACACTATTGTGTTAAAATCTTTATGGGCTAATCTGACTGGTTAAGTGATGTTGGTTAGGTGGTGTTGGTCAACACTAGCTTCTTAATTTAAGAGCAGCATGGCTCTTATTCAATCTAATGGAGCTATTTGCCTGTGGGGAGACCACTGAAACTGAAGAACTGCAAGGAACTTTGAGAAATGCTGGTGAGATACCACACTGGCACACACTGAAGTATCCCACGTGCTTTCGGCTTGAGCTCTGCACTGCATGACGTCGCATGACGACGACCACAAACAATGAGTTTCTGGTTTTGGTTTGTTTTTTTAAGCTTTGTTGTTCTTGAGGCTTCCTTCTTGTGGCTGCGCTATGTCTGGACCACTACGAAGAAACAGAGCCCCAGAATTGAATAAGGGGTTCTTTTGCAGTTTCTGTGTTGATTCCTCCATACAGAGTCCGGGGTTTCACAATATTTTGTGCTGAATCACCTGGGGCCATTTGTGGTACACAGTGTGTTGAGAAAAGGGTTGAGGTCGAGGAGAGTGGAGAGAGGGATCAGCTGTGTCTCAAACAAAGAAAGAGAACTTTTACATGGAGCTTTACATATGTTCCACTTCAAAAGTCACTCTTACTGTGCTAGATTTTGATACCAACTTTAGTTGGTGTTAAAAAAAGTTCAGAATTTCTTGTTCAAATGGACGGTTAGCGGTTGTGTAGTTATTGTGTGACCAGTTATTTTATTATATTTTGAAATATTGCACAACAAGGGGATTTGTTGCACACTTGCAACAACAAAAACAAAAAGACAGAGTAACCGGCAGATATATAATAGAGCAAATAAAAATGATGAATAACAGAAAGAAATGAAAAGTAGGTAACAAATCAAATGATGTTTTCTCCTAGCTGTATAATCAGTTTGGTCAAAAACCAAATAGATTGTAAAAAAAAGGTATCAGAGAGGAGAAATAAAGAAAGAAGGAGAGAATTGGAAAGAATTTCAGACCCTAACCAGTGACTTTGACTAGGTGGAGAAACGACAAACCTACTAGGGATGTCCTTGTGTTCTGTAATACTTGGTTAACTGTTCTAGTTGCAAGTATTCACATACAGAAATCACTGTTTTTGTTACATTACAGCCCAGAATAAGAGAAAATACACAGGCTAGCAGTTCAGTGAATTGTTATGCTGTAATATGTCTGTAAAGTGCAACAGTTTACTCGTGTTTTGGATTAAGCAAGTTATTATGCTTTGCTCAGTGCCTTAATGTGAATGCATTGCCAAGGATGCATTTTTAAGGATGTGATTGAAAAGGCAGAGACAGTGCACCTGTATGAAAGCTAACTACTCTAGCTGCCGTGAGAGAGAATGAAAAATAATGATGAGATTTTTTCTTCTTAGTCAAATACCGTGTTGGCATATCATCTTCTGGTCTGAAAAACGCTTAGATTGTTACCATATTTAAGACAAACAGGGCTATTTTTGGATAATAAGATATGTTTTCAAATGTGCTAGCTGGTGCTAGCACTAATAGACCAGTTTTTTTATGTTTGTGTTATGTAACATTAGTATAATGTAAAAATATTCTCTTTAACCAAGTTCATTAACTTTTACGGATACTCAAAAATCAAAATTAGTCAGAATACACATCTCTACACATGACATCCTGCATAATAATACCAACAACTGATGGTGTCTGTTTGTCCTTGAGAACTGCAGATAAAAAATGTCTGATATTATTTGAACAAATTGAGCTTAATTGAGATCAATTCTACAAATCCCCACCCCAGGCCCCTGCCCTGTGTAAAGACTACTGGCAGCTTCTACACAGCAGCGACACCCCAATTCATGTTGTGTTGTGGTGCTTATTTAGCAGCACAGCTCTTGTAGAGTTTAAGTATTTATGGGCCTGATTAATGACTAACAGGTGAAAAAAATCACAAAAGCTGTTCTTATATATTGTAACCTAAGAAAGCTTGTTTGAAAGAAGCAAAAAAAAAAAAGTTAGCGAGTGCCAAGTCATCAAGCGTGTGTGAGAGCAGTTGTTTGGCAAGACAACAAAGCCAAGCTTTGGCACAAACAACACAAACATGTGTCCCAGACTCAGGATGGGTCAAACCCAATTCACCATATGGTGCACGGACTGATCAAGAGTCTTCGACTAATTGTGATGATCTAAGATGAAGTCACCCTTGTCCATATAATCGTTCTCGTTAGGATGGAAACTGATATTAGATCAGCCCTTTAACCATGATACGTTTGTTAAATATGAACGCAGCAGTGTGCAGTGTATAACGTTTTAAGTCAAAAAGCAAAATTTCATTACAGCTCCAGTACATTCTACAAGAGGTATGTTTGGAAGCTGTGGCTAAATGTATTTTTCAGATATGTTGTAGGTATAATTGTGCACAAGCTTATCAGTGACTGCATTTTTAACACAACTGAAACATAGACATACAGTACTGTGCAAGAGGCAGAGACCACTCCTCAACACCTAAATATAATATCACTATTTTCAGTATTTAGTGTCCACCTTTTGTCTTTATTACAGCTTTTTTCAGTATTTATTACAATAGATTTTCTACTTCTCACAATTCAAGTAATCCCAAACGCATTCACTAATGTTGATGTTTTTTGTTGATGTTGATTTCTTTTTCTCAGTAACAGCTTCTTTACAGCTACACATCCTTTCTGACTCAAAGCGTGCGTTTTCTTACAGTGGAAGAATGAACATAAACACCTGTTGATTTGTTCAGATCAGAAGCAAGAGTAGAGCTTTATTTTCTCCTCTCTCTCAAAGATGAAATCTTTAAGTGCTGTTTATCTGATGGTGACTGGTGGTCTGTCATTTCTTTAACTCCAGTTTTGGAAACTCCTTTTATTCCACTTATTTTCCTTTGACTTTTCCTGTTCATATAGAAATGGACTATATTATGTCTAATCTTCTCAGAATCTCCTGAAAAATGAATAACTTGTAAATGGCCATTTTGACTAGAAATTAAATAAATGAAGGGTGGTCTCTGACTTCTGCACTGTAATGTACATTACAAAATAGCACTTAAAGCTCAAAACTTACATTCGTTCATTCATACACGCATACATTCACTGTGTACTTTATTAAAAACCTGTTATTTCCACTCATTGTTATAAGGGTCATTCCCAGCCAACTCTCAAAAATATTCAAAAAAATTCAAGCTAAAATATTTATTTTACTGATGCAGCCCTGCAAAATATCACAGCTTTGAATGTTTAACCTTTCCCCTATCAGGGTCTAAAAAGCAACTTAAATATTGAGTTTAACTGCTTACAGAATTACTCAGCTGATCTTATATATCAACTGGGCATAAATGCAACACTATTTCACTTTAAATCAGCTTGTTTAGTGTTAATAAATTCTCATATAGAGCTAAATAATTGGAGGATGTATTTTTGGTGTTAATATTTTAGCTCAGTTTAGTCATTCTGTAAGCAGTTAAACTCAGTACTTTATCTAGAACTTTAGACTGGGCAAAGTTTAAAAATTCATATCTCTAACACTTATTGAAGCACAGCTTTGAAATTTTTCATGGCTGCAAATTCATGACGTGACCAGACACGCCCTAGGTAAGTGGCATGACCTGTAAGTTAAGAATAGAGTTCATGTATTGGCTAAAAAGCTGACTACACTCCTGAAAGGCTTAATAATTATCTGATAAGTTAAGTCAGGTGTCTTAGAGCAGGGAAAACACAAAAACAGGCTATGCATGGGGTCCCCAGGACTGGGATTAATAACAACCACTGCCATATGAAAGGGATCTCATAACGGATACTGAACCGCAGACTCATGTCATCGCTACATGCTAAAAGTGTTGATGAAAAAAACATTTACTTTTAAGTTGCACCGCCATAAAATCCCGCTGAAAATGTGAAAAGCAGTGCTTTTGATTACAGGAGACTGGTTTGATAATGAAAAGCATTGTTTCTCTTGTTACATTCTGAACTCGGCCCAAGAACGTTTAAAAAGAGTTTTTTTAATAGCCATATGTTCAGGATGCTTTTGTGCACATTCACACTCTGTTTCTCCTCATCTGTTTTCCTCACAAGACCCTTTTTAACTTAATTATGAAAGTGTTGGTAATGAAATGTGCAAACTCATATGCCCTTCATTAATCTCCTGCCTTTTTTAAACTCCATCTAGTCTTGATGATGCCAGCTGTAAGGAGTTCCCCACTGACATCTGCATTTGGTGCAGGTTCTGTGGATAGTTTGATTGGTCACACAAACGAAGGCTGTAGCTTAAGTCCCACATTTGTTAGTAGAAAATAGAAAAATCTATAAAACACTCCCCCAACCCTTACTCAGATTTCATGGTTGTTACTGTCCAGCCAATATAGATATCTGGAAATTAAGGCTACGCTACTTCTGAAAGATGAATCTTGGACATTGGGATACAAATGTCTGTTTTGCACTGCAGTGTGGTGCCTATGTGCTTCTACACTTTTAAAAATAAAAGTGAGCAAGGTGAGCAAGCAAGTCAACATGCAAGTGTAATTATAGCGTTTAAATGCTATATTTTATTGTGGGTAGATGTACCTGATTTATATCAAGAAAGCTGCAGTTGTTCTGTCCATTGTATCTATACATGACTGCCTTTGTGGAGAGATGTGATGAGTTTTCACGGAGGGGGTTCCCCTTTCACCCTGCATTGCTCATTGCCGGTCAACACAGTGTCATAACATTTCACATAAAGAGAGCAAACAGTGTTCTAGTTAATCTGATAACAGAGGTAGTGGGGGAAAATATGTTTTATTTGATTACATTAATTAACAATATTTCCGTATACAAATATTTTGATTTCCATTCCTCCCATGGAATGGCATCTGATAAGCTTGCAGAAAGAGTCAGAATCAGTTCCTCTATAGCATAATTGCTCACCATTATCTTACCCTTTCTCTTTCCCACAGTCACTCATCCCTAGTCCAGACTCTGTGCTAAATGCAGTGATGTCAAATGTTGAACTGGTTTTGTTTGTTTCCCCCCTGCAGCCTCTGAAAAGAATGTGCAAAAGGTGTGTGCCAACTCCTTGGAGGATCACCTCCAGCCATTCAAAGACAAGATGGAGGCTTTCATCGCTACTGGTGAGTCAACAGCAAAGGGAGCAGAACCAGTATGGCTACAGACTGGGCAACACTGATGTGAATTGCCTCATACTAGTCACAGCATGTAGGCAGAGATGGGGTTGTTAGTGTATTGTCTGTATCTAGGCCAGGTCTAAAGTTGGTTGTGGTTTCTTGTTTGATCCACAGTGGAGAAGCTTGTAAACTGACTGCTTATGGTCGGTTTGCATATTGTTGCGGTGGCTCTAGAAAAAATGAACATTCTCAATGATGTTGACTTTGTTCATGCTGCTTCCAAACAGGCCCCTATGACTGTCTTTCCTACTTGTTACAACGTAAGACACACAAATATTCTTTATTCATTTTTTTTTATTAAAAATAAAATGTAGATAAGACCAAAGTGGCGGTCACTGCTCTCTTGCACTGTTGCCTAATTGTGTATGCAATTATAGGAGTTTTATCTTCAATCACAAAATACTGGGAGGGGATTATTATAATAAACCACCCATTCTGATTTGCTAAGGCTGATAATTAATGCTGACTCTGTGCTATTAAGCTCCTAAGAAAAGTCTGATTTTTAGTGTTAAAATAGCTGTCATTGCTTGTGCTCGGAGACAGACAAGTGTGAGAGGTTTTTGAACACATTGATTTATTTTCAATGGAAAAAACACATTTGTGAATGCCTGCCATGTCACATTATTTTTAATTTGGTGAAGGACATATAAAACTTAAAACCATTTTAGAAAAACAGTGGTTAAACTGTATTTCCTAATACTGCAGGCATATTTTACAACACTATTGAAGTGTCTTAAGACTAGGTTATGCCTAAATAATGATGACATATTGAATTTCTTTTGGCTGTGCAGTCCCTGCATTGCTAAAGCTACTTCTTACTTTGTGCACTTTGTGGCTTCCATACATTCCGTCCATAGCAGAAATGTCACAGATCCACTCCGCACAAGGACTTTGACGAAGCCAAAGGGCTACACTCACCCAGGTTTAAAATCATACAATCCTATATGATCAGAAAGTGCTCACTGCAGTTACAGTAATGCAGAGTTTTCAAATGCACTCAGCATTAAAATCAAAGTCAGCTCATCCCTTTAATCGAAAATGTCATAAATAATCACTTATTTTCTTGATTTTTTTTAGTTACAATGTCAAAATAATGCCTTATTTTCTCAAAATAATTACTTATTGTTGTCAGACAATCAGGTACCATCTTGAAGAGTAATAACATTTTTTTCAACTCAAAATCTCAAGAAATAAGTCAATATTCCAAACTAATAAGTCATAATTTGAACCAGAATCAGGGAAGTATTTTTACCTCCTTTACCTGACAGAAATGCGGCTTTCGTTAAAATGCCATCATACATGTTTGAGCATCCTGAAAAAAGTGATGAATTCAGTGTGCTTTTTTTTGTCACGTGAATGAAACATATTATGTCAAAAATTCATGTAGAAATGAACACATTTGAATCAAGTACATTAAATACATTCCCTTTTTTTAGCGTTTATTGGTATGCCCTTTATGACCTGCTCTCTGCCCTGTGCTTGAGGTCTGACCTTTCCTTTCAGTTGGTTTCAGATCAGCTGGGGCTCAGAAACTGTCCACTGGTTTATGCAATGCTAGTAAAGCTCCACTGTACGCCAGCTTGAGGGTTTGGGTTTGAGGGATCAGGTTGCCCTAAACTGGCCGTATGTACTCAGTCTTGCTATAAAGCTGGCAGGACATCTCTGACTGGGCTCTCGTAAAGCCTGGCCAACCTCAGCAGGGACAGTTTGGGGGACCACCATGGCAGGGGACGTCATAACACTCCTACCCCTCTGATGGTTTATGTCCTAGAGGGTCAGTGCAGATGCTGCTTTGCACTTCCTCACTGATCTTAACTGACCTTTTAAAGATATTGATTGGCTAAAAGCCGCCTCATTATATGTGGGGGTTGATTAGTTTTGATTGACTCACATATATCCATAGACCAGATATTTTAGCAGATATTTTAGAGGAAATTAGATAGAAGATAATCCACTCACAGTAAAGGGGGGGAAAGTCAAAGGATTATAAGTGAAAAAACAGGAGTTTTCAAAATGGGAGTGCAAAATTATTAATTATAAAAAAGATATAGAGAAAATGGGACTACTAATAACCATGCAAGACCTGTCATCATCAGATAAACAGTACTTAAAGCTTTTGTCTTTGAGAGAAAATCGAGCTCCACTTTTTTTCTTTAAGTCTGAAAAATCCACAGATCAGTATTCAACAATGGCCCGGCCACTCTAGAGCCCAGAACTTAAGATTACTGCATGTGTTTGGGGTTACTTGGATGGTGGAAAGGAGAAAATGCAACCAGCTTACTGAACTTCGGAGGTGTGGAAAATATCCCTGAAAATTGCTTTGGAAAACTGAAAGAAAGCCTTCTTAAAAGAAGGAATGGAAGCTGTAAAAAAGGCAGAGGGTGGACACACTAAATAGTGAAAAAAATCTTCCCTGTAATTTTCTGTTAAATATGTCTTCTGTTTTTTCCTAATGCTGAAAAATGAATTGCTTGTGTTTAATGTTCATTTTGACTGAAGTTAAATGTGGTCAAAACTAATACTAATAATACTAATAAAATAACATTAGGCAAGTTTTTCCAGAGATATTAAAATTTGTCTTAATAGTTGTATTTTACCAAAGAATTGTTATAAATTGTTCGTTCGCCTCACTGCTGACTTGCTGTGTTTCTCTTTTCTCTTTTGGCAACACAGCTGTTGCATTGTGGATCATTTTCTGACCCTCCAATCCACTTCCTCCAGTATATTAAAATTATTACCAAAATACATATTTCCGATAAACCATCACTATCCAAAAAACCCACATCTCCATTTTTTCAGTTTTTAGTTTTCTACATCATTTAAACACAGCAGCCATCCTATACATTGCAATGTGTGAACATTTCATGATGAATGGACCAAATGAAATACTCTGAAATCACTTGAAATAAAATCCCTTTACAATGACTTACATGAAAAGTTAAGAAAAGTTATGTTGTTGCCTTCCTGTAAAGTTACCATTTTGGAGATTTACATCAACAATATTAAAGATAATATATGTATGCGCATATTTTTTATTTGAATTCTACCTTTGAGAGCCACATCTGACAGTTTGAATCAGTGGTTTTGTAGCCTTGGAACTAGCATTAGAACAAACTATTAATTGCATGTAATAATTGAATGTGAAGATGCCATTGTCCTTAGGTCATCACCAGACCTCAAAGCAGGCTTTAAAAGCAAGGCTATTGCCACTGGCTACAGTACTGTCTAAGTTAACAGAGCCACATCTTTGAGTGCAAACTTTTCAGTAGGATACTTGTAAAGCTCACTTTATAAACAGAATTCCTTTGGCCATCCCCCTGTTTCTGCTTTTTGAAGCACTAGGAGCTCAGCAATGACATTAGCCTTCTCAGGAGCTGATTCCATGGCTTCAGTACACAAAACAAATGAAGATTAAAGCATGAAAAAGGAGCAAGAGATTGTGCAGGCTTTTTTCGGAGAAGAGGGTTTTTGGGTCAGAGCTCTTAGGGAAGAGAGAGGGCAACAGGTATTTTTGATTCTGCTTCAATGCCTCAGTAATCCGGGGAAGCTTCTATGAAGGATTATGCATTTCAGGATTTGGAGCACTCTAAGATGGGCCAGGTGGCACAGGCTTGAAAATGTTGACGTGGGAAGTGCTCTGACTGTGTGAGCCACACTTTTTTCACACTCTACTAGAGCAGAACTTCAGCCAGTGAAGGAAGGCCACCGCTTCATTTTATGAGATTTGCTCTTGCTAGGAATGTAAATTTCTGTCCGCACAACAGTCCTGTATGCAGACATTTTAGGGAGCAGGGGCACAAAAAGGAAAGAAGGGCAAATTGAATGTGAGTGTGAAACTTAATTTAATTAATAACATATAACAAACACTCTCATCGAGAGACACAGTCTTGTGGCCTCCATGTGGCACAACTTTGTAAGCTTTCTCAAGAAGTCTGATCATCTGTAGCCAAGCATCCAAGAGAACATGATTGATTTAGCTTTCTCTGTGTGGATAGGATGCCCCCCCTCACCCAATCACTCAGGACAATACGACCTGAGTGTTTGTTAGCTAACAGAAACAAATGTAATAGAATTGACAGTTAGTATTCTCTTCCAGATATGTTGAGTTGTTTTAATAAGGCTGACTTCACATGACTCAGAGAATGCATGTGCTAGCCTTTGCCTCCCCAGCTTGGTAGCAATGTGTGATAAGGGCAAACATAGCTTGCAGGTGGAATTGGCAATGACTAAATTAGGGATATATCTGCAAAATATATATATATATATATATATATATATGCCAGGGGTTCTCATATTCTTCATGCCAGGTGCCGCATACAGAAGTAGCAAACCCACCAAATGTTCTGTGAAGTTAAATAAGTTAATTGTAGATAAACGCAAGTGGCAAGCTTTCAGCCCACTTTCCTTAACATTCTATTCTTTTGGTCAGTAAGCACAATAGCATACCATGACAACAGAATGAAACCCGTATAAGCCTGTAGTGATGAGATGTACAATAGTGAAATAATAAGGTAACATTGTTTTGTGTTTAGATGTAATCCATTTAGCTCTAACCTTCACTAGAAATGCATCAGTAAATTTGATTAATATCTAATTATTTGAATTTGTTCTGATCCAAGTTGTCTGCTAGTTTATAAGGCTAGCCAGCGATGTACTCTGTACCTAAATGCTATTATATTTATTTGCTGAGGCTTCTCTGCTATTTTTTTTGTTAAATATGTCTTTGGCTTTTTTCTGCTGGAGAACAATGAATAACTTGTACTTTCAACTGTTTGTTTCAACTGGAAACTAAACAAATTGAGAATGTTCTCTGACTATTGCAAAATAGCTCAGTGTTAAAAAATTAGTACATACTTTATTTAATGTTACTAGTACCGATTAGGCTGACCATGGATTTTAACTCTCTTTAATCCATGCAGTTGAATCACCACAGGTGTCATTACATTAATTTACATTAATTTATATCAGTTTAAGCTGTAAGAAAACAAATCAGAATTTAGGTTTGGCACAGTCTGCTGCAGTGCTATTTGCCCTGATTGCTTGAACGTATGTGTGTTTGGTGTGGTGTATGCGTATGTGTGTGTGTGTGTATGCATGTGTGTATACAGGGCAGCAATCCATAACTCACATATGAATGCTTTACGGTCCAGTCTCAGTGACAGCGTCTCTCTCAGCAGGGGCTGCAGGTGAACTCGAACGACCTGCACGCAGACTCTTAAACCTGCCTGTGATCTGAGCAGCTTTTACATCTTCAAAACTCATTCATCCATTTTGCTGTAATCCATTTACCTCTCTCCCTCCCACCTCCGCGACCTCCCTCCCCTATCGTCCCCTTTAATGGACCTCCCCTACCACTGCCTTCATAGGAGAGCTAAAGTTCCACTCATTTTCTCATTCAATTAGTCATTCTCTTCTAATCTAGTTATTTATTTCTCTTAGCCACACAAGGCCACTGTCTTCCATTACCCCTATTCTGTTCCTTTTCATTCATTCATTCATTCATTTATTCATTCATCCATTTGTTCGTTCATTCATTTGTCCTTTAATTCGGCTGTGCCATTCATGTTGTTAAGCAAACTAATCTAGATCAATATATTAGAAGAATTATTAAACACCTCTGTCATTTTCTTGAGTGCTAAGAAACTTTTGGAGTTGAGAGTGGGGGGGTCTAACTATTCAATAAAATATTTGTTTATTTTACTGTTTTATTTTAATTGCAGGTATAGATTTTACTTAGAATGTAAATTACGTTTTTAAATGTAGATACTTTAAGCTGTAAAACGAAAGTTTAAATGGCTTCTTTTTTGTTATTTTTTTCTTTCAATATTTTATCCTCACTCAAAGGCTAGATTTTGCTCATATCCATACAGTACATCAACATAGATCATGTGTAATGGATGCCCATGACTATATTTGCATCTTCCTTTAGATTTATTGGAGAAAATGAACAGAGATCTTACATACTTTAAACAGTAGCATGAAACTAGAGGTAAATGTCTGCCTGTTTGTTTAAATATTTTTGACAGTGTTTATAACAAAGGTGTATTTTCATTTGCTCAGAAAAAAACAATCATATTAAAATAAAAGAAAAACAATATTAATACATTACATTATAGTTTTAAATGTGAATGTGTTCATTTATTGCTCTTGTGGTAGCCCAGTAGTAATTGTAGTTATCATCCATTACCAGTTTGGCTAATCTGTGCTTCATTATGTTAAATCAAGTGTGGTGGTGATGGAATTGAACAAATCTGTGCGACTGCTGAGGGCATTAAGGAGACATCCGGACCCAAATTTTGTTCTTCAGATTAACTCAAAGATATCAACTACTTTTGGGAAAACAAAAAAATCTTACTTTTTAATGTGTTTATGTTTATGTATGATTTTAAATAATACATGTATATATTAACATTATAGAAAAACAACAATGATAAGTAGATTCTTAGCAAATCTATATAGTCTTGCAAATATTTTGCATATCAGATGCGGTTAGAGCACTATTATCGCTGAATGTGGATACTGCAGTTACAGGAGGTGTAGAGAGAGCGGTGCTTCGAAGAAGTGAGTTGAGCTTTTAAAGCCTTAATTTATTGTACCTCTCAGCGTGCGAGTCCCATAACTTTCTAGTTAGCCACTACTGGTTTCATGTTTACAGAGGGAGCTTGGGGGTAGAGAAAATTCACACATCCTCTCTCTCTCCCTCCGTGCCGGTCTCAGGAGTGGCCCTGCCACCTCCACACACACCTACAAACACACACACACATAGAGGGAGAGCGAGAGGGACCTCCGGCGCCAGTCCGCCCCATGCTGAGACCAATGCCATTGGTCATGGCCCGCCCCTTTCTGTCCATTACCCCACCACAGTGCCCCTCTCCCATCATTAGACTCACCTCAGATAATCAGCCACACACATTCGCGCGCACGCACAAACACTCCAAGTGGAAAGGGGTGTTTTGCTGCTTACACTCCTTCTATCGTGCCCACCCCCCCCCAAAACCCTCCCCACCAAAGACCCCAAAACCTGCCTTTGAACAATTTTTTGGAGACTTCCCCCTCTTAAATCTTTGGAGTGGGAAAGGTCCCCCCATCAAAGTTTAAAAAAGGATGAATCTGGAAAAATGCAATAAATCTGAGATCACAGGCTCTCTCTGGCCCTAGATAAATTCTTGCACCTCGGCCTGGCCCGCCGTACACATCTGCCTTGCATTTAGACACTTTTACATGGCCCTGCTCCACAGGAGCCTCCAGTTCCCAAGCTTTACTCCTTGCTTCTGCTACATACACACAAACGCACACACAATCACAGGACACTAATGTGCCTTGACTGTTCCAAAATCCGTGGACACCTCGACAACTTCTCACATATGCCAAGAACATCCAGCTTAATCTTGTAGCATTGTTGTAGTACATTGCCTGATTGGCACTTTAGCCGTTGTAAAAGTGAAGAATAACACGAGAACAGAAGAGCAGATTTGAATGAAAACCAAAACAGAAGCACCAAAAAGTACAATTTAGGTCATAAAGCAGAGCTAACCTTTGAAATAGGCTTAGTATGTTGCCATGTAGGGGGTAACACGGTACAGTTGTGATTACTTTTTCCTGTAACAGCATAGCGCAGTGCATTACAATTCAACTTTACAACACTTTACTGTAGGGCACTGTTCATAAGATTACATGACACCTTCATAAGCTCATCATGAAAGGTGACATAATCCTACATAAACATTTATAAGCATTTATTGAAATAGAATATTGGTTATTGGATGAGACCTGCAGACCAGCATTCTTAGCGGTTTTGTTAGTTTCTCTTAATTAACTCTTAATTTTTTCATTAGTTCTTTTCGCATAATGATATTTTTGCATGATGCTAAAATGTAAATGGGTGAATTTTACATGTTTTTGTTATTCTAACCCTGATGATGTTTAGTATTCAGGTTTAACATTGCGCTCTGTACCCATGACCACTGTCAGCTGGTGAATACTAGACCCCAAGCAGTTTCAGAGCTGCATGGGTGAGTTAACTTTACTTGCTGTAGAAGTGTAGATCACTGAGAAATAGAAAGGAACTATAAATCAAAGCTTAAGTTATTTAAGCTTGAAGCTGTTAAACAACCTTTTTTCTGGCTATAGGTTTGCATGAGTAAAGTCAACTAATTGAAGTTGACATTATATGTCACATCATCAGAAGAATGTCACTGGGATCTATATTAAGCTGCAAAGTCAGTTTTTATAATCTGCTAGGTCATTTAAAAAAAGTGTCATGTCATAACAACGCAATGTCAGAAAAAATCAGCACCCCTAACATAGATGTTAAGTCAACTTTACATCAGAGTTGTCAAAGCTTTTATGATAGATGACACTTATTGGAATAAGCACACTTATGTAGATTTAAGTCCATTGTCATTGTGGGCTTATGTAGGTGTCTTGTAGCCTTATGAACTCTGTCCTTTAGGTGTTACCTTACTTGTAAGCACATTACGGAATTGTTGTGCACGTTAGCTGCAAACGCTAACATTTGTGAAGTCACGCTGTTAGTGCGAGCAGTGCAGAACATGAACTCAGTGAGTGATCTGTCATCTAATCACATTAATATAACAGTGACAGATGAAAATCCATGTGCTGCAAAAGAGAGGACCCCAACAAACAAGATTCAGTTTTAATTGAAAATAAGTTCTATAAGCTTTGCAATTCATTAATAAAGATTTTATTCCTAGGCAAAAAAAAATGTTGAACTGTTTTTACTGTATTGTTAAAAATAAAAGTAGGCTCAACTTAAAATTATATAGTAAATGATTATTCCTGATTATTCTATATACTGCTTTTCTTGAGTTAACTTGAGTACACTAGAATTCACCTCATCTTAAACTTCTTAGATGAGTCAAAAATTCTCTTAATTTTTTAGTTCTGTATCTCAGTTTGGTACATACAGTAGAATTTGTTTTTTCCCCTTATAAATTTCTATGACGTTGGGTTTCAAACTCACAATCTCCTATAAGGGTGATGGCTTAGTCCATTGCACCATATAGGAGCAGCTGAAGTTACTCACATTTCATGTCCATAAATGTTTAATACACCGTAGAAAATGTTTATTGAAAAGTAGCATGGTCAGATGTGGTGCAACTGTTTTATAATTCATCCAAGCATCAGGAGTTTGTGAGTTTGAATCCCAGCAAAGCCACAGCTGTCCATATCTGGGAGTCCAAAAAGAGCAATTGTGCAATTTCCACTGTTTGCAGAAATTGAGTAAAAATGCTAATTGTTTTTTGTTTACCTAACTGAGATGCAGAACTAAAAAATTAAGAGAACCTTTGACTCATCTAAGAAGTTTGAGTTGAGGGAGGTCTAGTGTCCTCAAGTTAAGGTTAACTCAATAAAATAAGTGTAATCAGTTACCTCATAATTTTAAGTTGAGATAACTTGTCCTTTTTTACAGTGTGGCAAGTTTCTGGATTTTTAAACATCATCCATCAGCTGTTAATAAATTTAATCAAGCATAACTGGCAGTATCTTGTTCAGGGATAGTGAGAGGCCTTTTAAATAATGTAGAAGTAAAGTTGTGAGTAGTAACTTGGGAAGTAGTAAGTAAAGTAATCCAATTATAGTTTGAGAGAAGTACAGTAATTTATAATGGATTACTTTTTTGATTAACTACCCCAACATCAGTATGTTCTGATATGTATTGACAATTGCTGTTTTCTGTTCTTCTGCAGCGCAAGCAGAGTATGCAGCTGAAGATGACCGCCTGAATGCTGCCCAGAAAAGGTGGGAGGCATTTTATTTAAAATGTACCTACTATGGTGTATTTTTTTTATCGGTTTACACAAGAAACTGTACATTGCTATAAGACTACATGAGGCATGCATGCAAGTATGTGACATCCATTGGGGAACTCAGCCAAGTGAGATTTATGAGAGACGTCAGAGAACCGTCTTTGGTTATTCAGCATGTTAGGTACAGATAAGCAGAGACCACATCCTCTCAACATCAGATAGCAGTAATGTTTGTCATTTGTAAAGCTGTCTGTAGCAGTTAGCGTCAGCTGATAAGGAATCCCTCAGCTATGTGAGAACAAGAAAGAGAGGGTGAATGGTGGTCTGCTTGGCTTGCTGAGTAATGCTGTGGTCAGCTGTTATTTACCAATGACTTCCTTCTCCCAAAATCAGTGCAGGACTTGATGTTCATGACAGCCCTAACTGTTACCCGGGGAGCTGGAGGCATGCCTAGAAATGTTCGAAAGTCTTTTTTTTCTTCACGCACAAACACACACAGAGGTTCCACTGCTTATCATGTAGCCTTATCATGACTAATTGCATCAGACTCCCATGCGTAACCGTGTTCCAACAGCGGTCCACTGTTTTGGGTGATTTATGCTGAAACGTACGACTCGCAGATGCCAAACAAGAGTATCTCTGGAACTTTTCATAGAGGAAAAAAAAAACTCTTGAAATGACAAACAAAGCAAATTGATTATTTTTCCTTGTTTGGCTAGACATGAGAGGTTTTTGGCATGTCTGCTAAAAGAAATGGAATCAGAATCAGTGTATAAATTATAAAAACAAAGAGTGCATACGTGGCAAAAACAGCACAGCTTTGAACCTCAGAAAATCAGAGATTTTGGACAGTTCAGGGCTGATGGTTGCAGACTGTCCTGTCAAACTGCATGGCTGGTTCCTCATTTTCCTTGTCCAAGGCAAACACACTGAATTTAGCTCTTTTAACCTTAATTTATTGCAGAACAGAAACCTCAGCGCCTCCTCGACTCCACTTCTCAGAAAAGGTGCTGAATTGACTAATATTGATCAAAAGGGCCTGACGGGTAGAAAACCTTTTTTATTCGCTGTTAATTTGGTCACCAAAAGCGGCCAAGGCAGTGGCCACTCCAGAGGAGAGAGAATGGGCGGTGGTGGAGACGGGGTGTTCCCCCATGTTCCCATGAACACACCTCATTAAAGTGACTTGCTGGTGATGGATATGACCAGCCTCCTGGAGCTGGGTGGGCGGCCACATGTGTCCAAATCTGAAGAGAATCCACCTTTGCTGTTTTGCACTGTGTGGCCTGCATGGTGGCCAAACTCTTCAACAGAGCCATACCTTTGATCATTAAAGGACTATTTCCTCCAAATTGGTAATGCGGCTTAGCAACAGTTGAAACCAAGGGGCGGTTAGCATGAACATATCTGCATAATGCTAACTGGGCCCATCTAGCTTTCTTTAGCAGTATTAGCATTTTAAGGGGAAGCATTTGTTTAAAAAAGAAAGAAGGAATGTATGACGAAGGATATGTCTTCTTAATTTCAGTGTTTTTTTTCCGGTATTAACGTAATCAGATACACATACACAATACATTTGGGTATACTTGTATTGGGACACAAGTACCCTCAGACAAAAGAATTAAGTAACAGTTGAACAGCACCTACATACACTGTAGGTGTAAATAAGATACTGTGATGGTACATTTCTGTTCATCAAGGTACAATGTAAATGTATCCTCAAGGGTTTCAGTTGTGTACCTTAAATATGTTTTTCCCAGTGGAAAAGTACACATTTATACCTTTTCATAAACCAGTGTTTTAAAACAGAGCAATGAAATAAAAAGGCTGGAGGCAGGACAGGGTGTGTGAAGTGAATACTTCACAAAATATAATTGCAATGCATTATGGTGTAATTATGTTCCCTAACTAAAGGTACTGAAGACGTACCTTTGAGGGTACCACCCCAGTTTTTCTGAGAGTATGGGGTTGAATACATTTAATGGCTCCTGTATAGGGACTTAATAACTCATGCATAAGCACTGGATAATGCATTTCAAAAGCAATACTCAAGTATTTATGAACAGCTTATGTCAGTATTCGCAAGATGACAGGATTTTTTATTAAATAATTAACATTGTATTGACATTAGGGCCCTTAAACTAGTGACAGACATATGTTGCATTTACAAAACTCTTACGAACCATTATTAATGGATTGTATAATGATCCACATCACAATGATTAACAACATCACATACTGTATTAAATGTGATACTGTATGTAGTGTTCCTCACTGGGTCTTAAACTTGCATAAATATGTTATAAATGGAACAAGTGTCCATCACTTTAGTTGATGCTGTCATTTACTTAATGAGTAAGCTGTTTATAAATTCTGTATTATTCAATGGTTATGTGTGCGTTATGAAGTCTCCATGTCAGCAGAACCTTCATTTGAAGACTACTACAAGCAGAAAGGGTGTATGCATTACACATTATAGGCCACACCGGTCAGTTTCATTCAAAAAAGGGATAGAAAGAAGAAACTGATTTACTGAGCTCTCTTTCAATCAAATAAAATCCTTCCTTCTCGTTCTCTGTATTTCTCTTATCTCCTGTTTATTTAATGTTCTGGCAGGCAGTCGGAGGCCGACACAAATTACTCTGTGTACATTTCATGCATTCCATCTTAATTCCGTGCAAATCGCCGATTTACTCCATTCAGCTACGCAGTAGTAAAAGCTGCTGAAGCAATCTCGTCTATACATTCAGCAGTGTAATGTAAACAAGTGTATGTCTTTGAAAGATTTGTGAAGTGTGTCATTCCATTTTGCAGTTACAGTAGGGCTATTAAGTGGTTTGGTTGCTGTGGGGGAGTAAAGCTTTTACTTTTCTGGGAAACTCATACATTTCATGTATTTTAACAATACATACAGTTTTGGGTGCAGAACTATTATTTGCATTAGCTTTTTGTGTTATTTTATTTTTTTTACTTTAAATTCCCCAATTTTAAATTGAGCTCCTACAAAAAACTGAGCTCCAGTACACATGAAAACAGACCTTAAATCTGGAATGATAGGCAAGTGTATAAATGCTGGTGGTGTTTTAATTACGTTTAATTTTACTTTTATTTATTGTCAAACACATGGTACAGGCCTAACTGGTAGCCATTGATGCTAACCATCCGCAATTAGGGTTAGTATAACTTACCATATCACCCACAGCTAGGGCAGCAAGGCTCATCCATGTTTTTCATACTTTATCCACATCACTCAACACTTATGCAGAACAAGTGCTCAACAGCAAAGATGGTTCTAATCAAAATGCGTTAGCTATTGTGCAGAGAAGCATTCCTGGAGGCATATACCAAACATTAAAGACTAGAAGAAAAGACTTGGACGCCTTGCACACATTAGCTTGATCATGGGAACTTTTGGAATATCTACATTAGTAAATAGCCTAGACTGTACTTTAGTCTATACCATTGTTTCAGTATTGTTTTTATTCTTTCTTTTCATGTTTTTGTTGTTAAATGCAATCATTGTGAAATATTCACACTTAATAGTTTAGTACCTCAGTCTGAGTGAAGCAAGAGAGAGAAGCGCCATTTAACTTTATTTTTGAATAAGTAAAATAAAGTTTTTTCAGCATTCTCTTAGCATTATCTTATAGCATAGCCAAACGTTTCAAAAGCCCAAAAGAGGTTAAATAGAGCCTAATCACTTTTATTTATTTAGGCAGTATTAGGGAAGCTCTCTAGTAAAAACACAGCCTGCAAGCAGAGGTGTGACTTGCAGCTCAGACAAACTCTGAGCTGCAGCTTCAGAAGCAGGGAACACTATATGCCGTAATACTTGGGATGAGTCCATAGAGTCACAGAACATATTAAATAGCTGTGGAGTGCTGAGTTGCTGGTGACTCTGAAAGATGCAGCAACATACCTTAGGGGTTTCAGAGAAAGCATATGCAGTTTTTAAACTACCAGATTCTTACCACTGTCAGGAGAGACTAGCGATGATAATCGGTAGGAATTAGCAATACGGCAGATCATCATACTTTAATACATTTTCATTATGCATGACATGGATCACGATATTTAGTTCTGAGGAAAATATAAATTTCTGAGGATTGATAACTTAAAAAGGTAGCCAGTGGTGCCACATTTCCCTAATACTCCCAAAACGATTTGATTTAAAACAATGATTTTTATTCAACATTTCATGTACCATGCTGCTTTAAATTCAATTCATCCAACTAATTATGCTATCTTTGTAATGAACCATGTTTTAATTCAAAACTAAACATTTGTAGTGTTTTATAAGTACAATATTCACAATATCCTCAATATAATGCAGCCCTAATTAAAATGTAAAAATAACAAAATTCTTCAAAACAGTGGCACATCCAGACACAGCAGCTCGGTGATCTCTGTAATTACGCTGTTTTCCATTAATTAGTCAAACAACTGCAGCCATTGACTATAGGAGAACCCCTTAATATCATATGAGATGAGCCTCTTAACATCTAGGCAATGAAGGCAGAGGCTTTTATTTCTGAACATTCAGACTTTATAAGTGGTCATGTTGGCTGTGATATTGTATTGGTTATTCTAATAACTGGAAGGAACATCATTGCTTTCCCAGTTATCACATCCCAGGTTGTCTTTAAGCATAGCTAGTATGATTAATCTTATGCATTTGTGACTAACACTAAGCATCATATTCAGAAAGCTGAGAAAAGAAATGTCCTTGACAGTAAAATCCATTCTGTTCTAGGATTTTGAAACCAAAACACACAAAATGATTTAAAGAAAATGTTGTAGTGGAGATGAAGTGAGCTGTTGTAACCTTTTCAACAAGTCACAGATCAGATTAAGCAGGAGGGGTAGAAATGCACAGCAAATTTTAGGTCTGCTTTATAGGGCTTTTAGGGCATGTCCATGTTTAAATGGCCCATTGAGTTTCCCTCCTGTTTGTGATATGGGTAAGCTGCTATACAGGTGCCCATTAGTCACACTGTTCCACTTGACTTGTGGCCACTAAGCATGTTTTGCAGCCCAGCAGCGAGTTTCTGCTGGAGATCGCAGATTGGTTTCCTATTCTTAACACAGCTACTCTGAACAAAGCCGAGTCCCACAGTTCAGTTTACTTTTCTAAAACGGCAGCTTATTATGCAGACTGCACATAGCCCTGCCCACTAACTTCTCACTCATAAGGGGCAGGGTTTAAACTAGGGGTGGGGAACCTCAGTCCTGGAGGGTCAGATTCCTGCGCAGTTTGGTGATTTTTCTGCTCAAGCACACCTGATTCAAGTCATCATATAAATCAGGTTTAGTTGCTGGGCTAGAGCAGGGAAATGACCAGACTGTTTGACTGTGGCCCTTATTTCCCCTGGCTTAAACAAAGCAGTGAAATAATGGAATCTGACCAAACTGAAGACAAAATAGAAGATGAAAATTCAGTGATGAAGAGATAGCAGTGTTAATAAATGAAGTTTGTTTCCATCAAAACACTCTCCATTTTATTCCATCTTAGAAAAAAGAGTTTGTAAAACAGTAATACGGACAGTGTCCGCATTTTGCAGCTGCATCAAGGCATATTGTGCTCAGCATCTTCTCACATAAGTGCATTTGGTCTCAAGAATTTCAGCAGCATTATTCTGACATTCTTTCAGCACGTTTGGGGCTCATACCTCCGTCTAACCACTGTGTCTGCTGTCATTGTTGAAGAAAGTCTAACAACATGTCTTTAGACCCTAATGCAAATGTATGTCTGGTTTTAAATGACAGAGGAAAACTTAATGCAAAACGGGCTGCCACAGGTTGCTCAAACTTTAATACATTGAGCAGAATATGTGATCAGACACGTGTAATATCTCCACCTACTTTTTATGCTATTCTTGTACGTTTTCCACTGCCCTCCCTCAAATGGATATGCTCAAATAAGAGAAGCGCCTTTTGCATTTTACTATGTGCACTGCCTGTTTCTTGCAGAACACGTGCTGAATTCCTGAAACTGGCGTGAAAGGCTTAGTACATTGGACCCTGACCTTCTATGGTTTAAGCTTAATGTTGAATAAATAGTGTGACTGTCCTTATTCTGATGGTGGTCACTTGATCATCTCACATTTTTAAAACAGTGTTCTAAGACAAGGCCATTGTGAAGTAGGTTTTTTGTGCCAGGTTATATAACTGCTCTATTTTGGGTCTAAAAGTTCTGGGGCCTACCAGAACTTGTCAGTTTCTTAAAGGATACTTGGAAGTGTTTAGATGCTTTATAGTGTGCTACAAGGAAATCTTCCATGTTATTGCCTTTTTCCTGCCATTCAAGGGGAATGCAGAGAATGTGTGTACAGCAAAACCAATCTCACAGCAGGTGGTGCCATTGTGACGAGAGGCTGCTTTGTTCGCACCCTTCGTTGATTTGTGTTTACTCCTAGTCCAGGTCATGAAAGGCTCCAATGAGAAAACCGTCCAGTGAGCTCAGAATTTCAAAGAGCACCTCAGGTCTTGTCATCTCTAGAGAAGAAGAGGAGAAAGAATCAAAAGTTCTTCTACATTATTAGAGCTCCATAGGCTGTGGAAAGGCCCTGGAGAATGAATGATCTATGATTCCATCCTCCGTAGCAGCCAGAAAGATGACCAGAAAATGGGAAGCATCTTGGCACTGGCATGGCGCCATCTGCCCCGCAGCATGTCTCCTATTAGCACAGCGCTAGGCCCCATTCGTCTGGGGGTCACGGGAGGATTGTCGACCCCCGTGCATCCTTCGGAGTCACGGTTGGCCATGAGACAAGCGTGACAGCGGCAGTAGGAGAGGGTCTTTAATCTCTGAATGGAAGCAGGCTGCAGAGCAGTTTGTAGCGTCTGCAGCTTGTGGAACACTGCTGTGAACGCTGGGAAGACTTCAGGTTTGGTTACAATTGAATTAGCCTCTGGATCTGCAGAACATAGAGTTTGCAAATACTCTGAGGGCTACTTGGAGAGTGTTGCGAGCTATGAAATGCTCCTTTACGACTGCTCTTGCTTTATCCAATTACAAGCGTGCCCTGTTATTTATTATGCCGTATGCTGTGTTATTAGGGTTTTGTACCTCAGTGCTTCAATTTGTTTCAGGAGCTAAATTGTCCCAGTTTAGATCTCTTTTTTGTGGAATATATAATGTCCTAAAAAAATGGAGCTTTTGATGAGCTGACATGACTTGCCCTCTCACTCTTTGGTCTCTCTCTCAGATCTTTTCCCCTCAGTCTTGTCCTCCCCAGAGTGGAGATGTCAGGAAGATTAGTGGAGCTATAGCAAGTAGTTAAATGTTTTGTCCAGCCAGTGTTGCCTTGGTCTTCGCTGACTCTCTGTCTCCTTTCATTCACCCCCACCCTCATCCCCCTTTCTTAGCTTTCAGGACATGGTGGGCTACTTTGGACTGAAGCCCAAATCTGGAGAAAAAGAGGTTGCTCCCAACTACGTTTTCATGCTCTGGTTTGAGTTCTGCAACGACTTCAAAAACACATGGAAACGTGAGAGTAAGAACATCTCCAAAGAGAGGTTAGTAGAAGTACAATCCTGTCACAGTCTATGAGTGTTTCTATTCTTACAGGGTAGAAAGAAAATAAAAGCAATGCTATATGGTTTAAAAACATATTTCTAACCAAAGGCAACCATAGCAAAGTCAAGCTGTAATCATTCCATTCACTGTCACTCATGCCTGTATGTGTATAATCACTGAAAAAAATATGAACATTCTTATTTCATCTCTGGAGCCCACAAATATCCAATTGGCCAGTCAGTATTTTCTGAACATAATCTGTCTTTCTTGTATTTGTCTTCAAAATATAACATTTTAACTGCGGAGTATTAATCCACCATAAAGAGGCATGATACAATAGCACTTCATACAACTGTTGTGTCAGTGTAGAACAGGGTTATATGAGGGTGCAAACAGTAGAGGCTAAAGCAATACAAAGTACCTGGAGATGCTATAACATTATATCGAGCTGTACCATAGCTTGGTCTAGTTAAATAAATAAATACATTTTATTTATTGTTTTTTAAAAAAGGTGAATACTAAAACAGACATTAAGTACAGATGATTGAATAGAAATGACAGTTAAACAGAAATTAATTTAGTAAGGTGTTAATCTAGGTATTGCTTGAAGTGATGAATCATCAGACCATGATGGATGGAACTGAGTGACTGAGTAATTTTCAGGATTTTTGATACATAAGGGAGCCAAAAGGTGTTAAAATCATATATACTGATATTTACAGCCCTTAACTACATGCTCTGGAGTTCATGGTAGTGAATCAATCAACGCCAATTTGTCTATTTACGAATATTATGTAAACCTCAATTTTGAGATACCCAACAATATTGTTAGCTGACATTTACCCAGAAATTCTGATTTTGCTAATGAATACAAGCTTTTACAAAGATAGTAAATCATGTTAGCTGGTCCCCATTCATTGCCATGTTATAACTTTTGAATGAAGTGTTTCTTTAAAACCGTCATTTCTTACTGAATTGTGAAACGACATTTTCTATGAAACAATATCTAAATTACTGTATTGTTGCCTGATGTCTCTATACACTGTTAACTCTCAACCCTGAGTCTTTAGAGTATTTTAAGCTTTCACACTCTCTGTCTTTGTAGCACCTTCTGTTACTGCCTTTCAATTAGTCAACAAAGCAGTGGAGCCCCTTAACACATGCCAGACTCTCAACCCCTCTTCTATTGCACCTACTGGTCCCTACCTTGCCTATGGAGAGCCAGTATGAATTCTGTAAGGACAAATAAAAATAAAGTGCTTTTGGTTTTTAAGGCCAGAGGGGCATCAAAGCCGACGGCGGCAGTCTCAGCCCGCAGCCTAGTACAGTGTCAAGCAACTTAGATTTACAACCTCGCCCCTGACCTGTGGGGGGCATCCCACTGGGGGGACAGCAGCTCTCTCTGCGGCCCCCTGGCTTTACTAGTGTAATATGGGAGGCTGTTAAAGGGAGTGCATGGAATGGTACAAGCAAGGTTACTGTCAGTTTGAAGACGCTTTACAGCTTCTGGCGCACGTTCACGCACACTGCTAACATCCAAACTAAGCTCCAGATCCTGTTCCCAAGCCTCGTCCTATCGCATTTCTTAAAAGTTTGTCACATTTTATGAAGAATTTCATTGATTTTTCCAAGTTTCTGTATAATTAAGTGGTTAAAAGGTAAACAAGGTCATTGTGGTTTGATGTGAAATGTTCCATTCTAGAGACATTTACTGAGTCAGAATTTTTCAGCAGTGCTGATAGGAACCAGACATCCAAAGTATTTAATGTCTCTAAAGCTACCTCACAGAACGATATAGCATTAAATGGTAACAAGTAGGTTGCATGACGCTTGTGACATTGTTTTACAGTAGTTTTAAGATAAGCTTTTGGCCTAAACTATATTTTTAAAATTTCATACATACAGAACATTTTAAGGCAAAGTAGCATCCATAGAACTTATTTTTTCAGATTTGCCACTATTTTACCATTATCAATATAGAAAAACTCAGATGGAACATGTAGGTCTACTGGTTGTTTTGGACAGCCAATAAAATGTCTATGCTTGCATTGTAGACATCATGACTCCTTGTTCTTGTCACCCCCACTGTAAAGAAATCAGTAAGTTTCTCTACAGTTCACATCAGACCACTATGAATGACTTTGTTTATGTCTCAACAACTAAATTGTGCAGAATAAACAATGGAATTCTCCTTTAATGGCATGAGCTCATATGAAGGAGGTACTTAAAGATAAGCTTAATGTATGTATGTAATATGTAATATCTAATATTTTGTTAGTGTTTGAACATTTAAAGGGATAGCAGATATATACTTTTCTTGTCCAGCTTAGACAATATTTTGAACTGCAGCACAGCTTTTGAAGAAGGGACATAATGTAGAGTATTGTTCTTTCGGAAAAAGAAATATATGGTTAATTCAGATACTAGTATCTCAGATCATTTTTAACAAAGTTGTTATATCTTTTAGGTATTTCACATTTGAAATGGAGCCTGTGGTTTAACGCAGATTTATCAGAAAGTCTTTTTACTAAAATATATCAAACTTAATGGGATAGTATACTAAATATGCCAAATGCCCAGGTTTGCACAAAATAAAAATCCATGCAAAAAATAAAGATGGAAAAAGTATATACAGACACAAAACGATGAATTAACTAAATGAGTGAGGCCTACTAAAAGATTGCTATAGATTAAAAGGTAGGTGCACTGTTGTGTGGAGCAGTTTAACGATTTCAAGCATGTCCATGGGTTTTCTTGCCATCATAAACTAGTTGTTTACTGAGCAGTGATGTCCCACATTACATCTGACAGCTTTTGCTGATCTACTGTTGCTGTTATCTTAAATGCTGGTTACAAGCTCATAAAACCAAGCATAGACCTTCTTTCAGTTTAGACTCAGTGGTAGAACGTTGGAGGAGCGTGGAGTGAAATTACACAAGCAATTAACTGTGTTGCTTTATCGTTTTGCTTTGAAGTCTGTAATGTGCAAAATGTAGAAAATGAAGTGTTAATTCATAGCAGGGCTAAGGCCTAACTTTTTCAGAACCATCCCAGAGCTATTCAAAAAAGTTTCTTCAGTAAAAATTAACCATGAAGAATATTAAACTAAATTTTTGTGCTTCAGTATTACAGATTCACAAAAATGACATATGTCAGAAAGCAATACACAGAATACATGCTTAGTACACATCTATGCACACACACTTACAGACACACAATGCAAACAGACACAGCTATGGTCAATAAATACATTTATGTGCATATGTTTGAGATTGTGTGTACAAAAGATCTGTAACTAAAAAGTAATGTTTCCAATTTGATTGTATCACACTAATTCTTTTAATAAACTGCATTCCTGAAATGCAAAATAAAACTCAGTAAATTCAGATTGTGTTCAGATTTTCTTGCAGTAACTCTTTAAATAATTCAAATGAAACTGTAACATTGCAGCTCTTCAGAACCAGCTTTCATTGTAGTGGACAGCAGGGAAAAACAGTAATTATAACATTTGATTCATCATCAGTGTTTATGGTTGCCTGTAAATTAAGAATACAGCATGGTTAGAAAATAGAAAATATTTTTGCACCCTGGAATAGTGCTACCATATTTGACCAGATTACAAAGAGACTGTAATGCTCCAGCATACAAAGCAAAACATGTTACTTGAATGTCTGATGCAAGCTTTTATTGTAAGGTAGTGCATGCTAAAAATTATGAATAGACACATTAGCTTGATGTTAATGTTACAAAGGAATTCCCATTAATGGGCTAATGGAAATCAGCATTATGCTAGCAGTTGAAATGTGATGAACAGTGCTACTTATGAAGAGACAAAAAACAGTTTCTTGATTAAACATTGCTATATTTAGTGTGAGCATGAATGGACACCTGCATACATTTTATTACTATATTTTACAGACATTAAGTGGTAAGTCCAAAGCACCCAAGTTGTCCCTGAAGCATCCCAAAACGATTTAAACATGATCTCTTATGCTGTTTTTATTGCCCCCAGGACAACGGGATGCCATTAGTCTGAAGCCTTGATTTATAGGCTTTACAAGGTTTTGTTCATAACACACAGGACCACTTTTTTTGTTCAGGTACACAAAGGGACTTTTCAATGAACGATGAAAGGTATTTGCAATTATTATTTTTTTGATGCTTTTTTAAGACTAAAAGAAGCTCAACTGAATGTCCAGAAGATCACAGCTGAGAAGAAGGTGGAGATAAAGAAGGTCAATGCCAACAGTCTGGTGAGAGCAAGAGCCACACACAAATGCACACACACCTGCATCAGCCCTCAGCTCCCCTGTCGAGAGTTTATTGAGAAATTGCAACATTTATATTAAAAATATATATGTATATCTTTTTTTACAGAAAGAGAGGCTGAGGCAGAAAGAAGCAAGTGTATCCTCCAGCTGAAAATGAAAGGAGAAAGGCAAGAACAAGAGCTTTCCATCCTTTCCACCATCTCCTCTAAGACAGAGAACTGTTTCCACAGGAGACGTTCACCATAACCTGCTCCAGACTTCTTTAACGTGAAAGCCATAACAAAGATCTGAGACAGGACATTTCCTCTATTGCGAATGTGCAATCAGTGGTGGTGGGACTACTCGAGTTCAGGGTTCAGTGTGGGACCTAGATAGACTTGAAAAGCTCTTAGAGAAGAACTGAAGATGCTTATGAGGATTCTCCACACAAAGAACTTTAACATATCGTGAGCAGTGACCCTTTGCTTCTGCAGTAGGGCCATCCAAAGGTGCTACGGGGGGCTGAATGGGTTAATCATACCCACTGTAGCAAACACTTGCAATTCCAGCATAATTTTTAATTAAACCAGATGTTGATAACAAGTAAGCCTCAGAAAGTTAGACAGGTTTAGCTCCAAAAAGAGGGCGCTGATGAAGCAATATGCAGACAGACCATCATAAGGTTTAATGAATGAATAGTATGTTAAATCTGTTTTACACCATACACAAGAGAATACTGCTGTTTCAACTTGTTTCAGTTTAAGGCAAACAAAATTGGTTGATTTGTTACCCCTTTTTTCATCTAAGCAGGCAAAATGGGAGACAGCCAAATATCGTTAGCAGTAAAAACCTCCCTCACAAACCTCAAGTGACCAACCACAACCCAAAAATCAGTCAGCGTGTTTTTTTTTTTGTTTAGTGACTGATATTGTTTTGGTAGTACTTAACTGCATAATGTTTGTTGCAGTTTCCATGCACTTTCTTGCTTGCAGCAGCCATTATCTTACCATTTCCCTTTTCCAAACAGTACTTAATCCTGTGTACTGTGACTCTTCTGCACCTCATTTGCAATTTCTATGCAGTCTCCTTTTTTGTGACCCACATTGTCCATGTAAAACAGAGTATATTTATTTTGATAGAATATTGGTGTATTGGTGAACTAACAGTTGTGGTTACAGTTATCTGTTAAAATATAACAGTAAGTATATCGCTGCTGTCGGAACAAAACCTTCAAAATGGTAACTTTACAGGAGGAGGAAAAATCCACTTTTTTCAAAGTCTGTTTGGTCTGTTCGTCATGAAATTTACACACAATCTAAAGGGCAGCAGATACTTTCAAATTATGTCACAAAGTGACAAAATGACAAAAATGGGGATACAAGGTTTTGTTCCGACAGCAGCGATAGATACACATATAATGTAAAATTAGAAATGTGTGAACTCATTAATGCCTTAATTTCTTGTCATTACCAAAACCAAAAAAGTTGGCCTAATCTTCTTGTGGTTTTTGCCGTCTTGGATAGACTTGCTTGGCCGAAGGAAAAAAAATGCTTCGTAAAACTGAAGGGGAAAAGTTTATTCATGTCTAGATTTTAATTCTGTAAACACTATTTTTTTTACATCAAAATGCATACTGAGGGGTTTGGTGAAGAAGCTGTAGAAATCTGACGTGAATTCCTGTTTATCAGAATTGTCTGTAGAAAAAGCTTTAGCCTGACAATACTAGGTTAGTCTAGTAGATCTGCCACAGTGATCATGGCTTTCAAAGGTGCAATATACGCTGGTTTTGAGCAGCCCTTTCTGCCTTTCCATGGACATAAACTTTAACCATGCCTTGTTGCTTTTGGGCTCTTTCTTTCTAAAGCATCAAAAACAGTGTCAGTGAGTGAAAGAATGGAAAAATGGGAAGGGATGAACAAAAGAGTAGCAAAGCTCACACCTGATACCATCCACACTCACATTCCAGTGATACTTCTCTTATTGTGTGATTCAGGTTTCTTTTCTATGTGTGTGTTGTGTACGGCTTCACACAAAACCATTTTTTTTGTGGATAAGGATAAAATCTGAGTAGCTGCCTTGTTCAGTACTCCTGACCATATATGGATGATTCAAGTGAATTGTTTCTAAGTCAGAGCTGAAAACACGTATTAGACTTTACACTAAAATCCTTTTGCTTTGAGTGACCCTATACCTTAATTATGATTATTTTACTAAAACATGATGAATGATTGAACAGTCCATTTTGTCACAAACAAAACACTCATAACACTACTAAACCCTTACCAGGTGTTTCAGTAGTGACTGTTTCTACAGTGACAATTTTAGCTATATTTGAGCAGAACCCAAAAACACTCAGCAGTACTATTTTTAAATAGTTTAACATAGCTAATCACCTACTCCTGAATGTGGTATAGACCGTTTTGGGTATATATTCATACATATCATTTGACACAAATAATACAAGGAAATAATAAACAAACAATGCAAAAATGTAGTTGTGGTGCAGGATTCACATGCAAAAACATGAATTTAGGCCTTAGGCCTTATGTTTTTCCTTAAGGAATTTTGATTTTTCAAAATGTATGCATAATTCAGTGGTGGAGCTGTACACAGTCATTCGGACTGGTCTGATGTGGAGTGGTTCTTTGTAAAGAAACTTACTGAGATGCATGTGCCCCTTCACTATGAATGGATTTAAAATGTATATTTATATACAATAATTATTTAAAGTTTTAGACCAAACCTTTCTCTCAGAACTATTATAAAGCAATGCATCAGACAGCGTATGCATATAAACATTTCATGTAATAACTTTCTGTGACAGATCTTTTAAAGGCATTGAACTCTTCAGATGTCTGGTTCCCTTCGCCACCACAGTGAGCAATACTGACCACTCCGAATGGCTTTGTTTACATCTCAACCATTTAATTATGCAGACATTTTAGAAATTTGGTGGAATTCCCTGAAGCAAACTGAAGCAAAATATTTAAGTAGAATCTCTTTGTGGAAATATATTAAGCGTAAAGTGGGAAAAAATCCATTGTGGTTTTAGAAGTTCAGCACAATATTTTTTGACAGTTGCAAATTTTAAATGTATACCTAAAACCTGTAACTTAAGGTGAATACTTGAAAATGTGTTATGCAAGTGCCCATATGTATTTGGTATTTGGCTACATCACTAGTTAAAGGGGAACACTGATTTTCCAAAAATTCTGCATAATTGAATGGTTGAGGCGTAAACAAAATCATTCATAGTGATTTGGTGTGTTTTAGAGAAACTTGCTGAGTCAGAATTGCTCACTGTGGTGATAGGACACAGACATCCACCTCTAAAAGCTCCCTCCCAGAAAGTTATTACCTGAAATGGTTATGAATACTTAGCCTGATGTCTGAGACATTGTTTTACAATATGTTTGTGTTTAAGTTTTGTCCTAAAATGTATTTTAATCTATACCTGGTGGAGGGATACATGAAGGCTATTCTAAGGTTATTCAAAATTTTTAAAACAATCTGATTTACATTCCATATAAAAACTCAAAAGACACCTGTAGGTTCACTGGTGCTTTTGGGATAGTAAATGAAATGGCTATATTTGTGTTGTATACATGGTGACCCATTTAACATCAAACCACTTTGTTCAAGCACTGAAATGTGCAGACATTTTGAAAAATCGGTGGACTTCCCCTTTAATCTTATCTCTTAATAAGTTATGTGAAGATCAGGCCTATTACAGCCTGTAATTGTGAAGAAATATCTGATTCTAAAAGAGTTTTCTGTTAACTGCTGTAAACTCCCTGAAGAGCACTTCAACTGAGAAATCACTGCGCCATACAGTGCTGCTCTAGAGTTTCAGAGGAATAATTCCACTTCGGTTTAGGGCATCGCTGCTAGTTTTCAGAACGCAGACCGGGAATGTCCTTAGAAACAGAAGGATTTTCCTTTTTATTAGTACTTCAGAGAGGCCTGCAGTCGAGAGAAAGCAGCGCTCTCCTTACACAGACACAAAACAACACAACACATGGATAAAAACAGTAAGCAGAATAAACCGGCATACTTCCATTATAAACAAGTTCTGTACCGCTTAAGAATAAAAAGCTTTATTTCAAATAAAAAATAAAAATGAACCGTAATAAATCATTTCTGATGCTTCTGGTTATCGTGAATATCTATAACAACAAGCATCTCTTAGCACACCAACATTTTGCTTTCGCTCCTGCGACCAAAGCACGTTCACAGCAAACGGACTATACAATAAAAATAGTACCTGCTCCCTGCGTCCCGTCCGGTCCAATTAAATAAGTGTCTTATTATTTCTCTCTTTTTCAAGGTCAGTATATTTCCACACGGTGGAAACCCCTTTTCCAGCACTCTCCCAAACTTTGTGCTGGACTGAGCGCTTACAGGCAACCTGCTCCACCAACAGACGCAGAGGGTCTGCTTTCACACACACACACACGCGCGCGCGCTGGACAGCGGAGGAGCCTTCAGTCTGACCGAGCTTCAAATCAACCGCTTGTTCCGTATGTAGTGAACTAACTAACCATTCAGTCATCACCTTAAACTACAGGGAACAGTCGTGTACCCTAACTAGTGTATGAGACAATGAACAACAAATCGACAAAAAAAATAAAATAAATTCAACATGGTCGCCAAATCTCCAGCCACTCCGAAAATATGTATATACAAGTCATTACTGGTATTTAAACAGTTTACACTTTCTGAATTGATAAATGCTGTCAGCGTTTTGTTAGCGGTTGGGTTGTTTGTTAACAGTCAGTTAGCAGAAGCCTCGTGTCCCAAAGTTCACACTTGTGTGAGCATTCATGAGTTTTATTTTTTAATTTTTTTTTACATTTCTCAACGTGTAAAAGTGCACAAGACCAAGCGAAACCCCCCTCCCCCACCCCAACACACCTTTTCCCCCTATATGTCACATCTCATCTCACCCTAAGGTGACAAGATGATTATTTTTTATTAATGCGTGGCCACTATTACTATATTAAGGCCATGAGTAACGTTTCTCATAACTCCAAGGACTCCATTATTAATTCGTGGCATCAATATAGTAATCTTTGGCCTCAATATATTAATTTGTGGCTACGCCTTATTTAAAAATAATCACCACATCGCGTTAGTGGCTTTATACAGCTGTATGGTGGTATCCTGTCTGACAGCAGCAGAGCCAATGGAAATCTCCATCTCCGCTGAGGGGCGGGGCTTCTCACAAAGAGTGAAATCTAAACGAATTACTTTTCCTTGAGAGGACTGCTGCAGCTCACTGACACGGTAACTCATTTTCATGTGAGGAATAAACTAATATTTATGCACTTGGTCATTTTATGTGAAACTTAAAGTCATTTGCAGCATTTCTTACCGCGACTTCGCTAAGCTAGAATGTGATGTTGACGCGAGCTAGCTAACGTTAGTTAACGCTAGCTATCTGAGCAGAGCCTCGGTGAAACACACAGCGTCTACGAGAGACCAAGGCGTCTAAACAGACGCTGTTCATGAAATTGTGTTTTGAGACATGTTTTTAGATTACAGTCATGACAGACAGGCTGTATTTACTACTAAGTTGGTTTTAGTTGGCCAGTGGTGCAGTTGTCTTTTGTCACTGAGGGAAAGTCGGCCGCTGTTCCACTAAAACGTTTTTTTATATTAGTAATTTTGCTCCACAATTTTTGTCAGTGTTAGTACAGTGTTAATGTTATTCACATATTTATGGCTGAAACAAGTTTGTTAATTATAGGTCACCTAAGTGTGGACTTTGGAACAGGGTTTTTCGACAGTATCGAAGAACTGCAGCGTCCCAAATGTTCCTGTAGAACTATGCCCTTAGAGCTCCTGTTAGTTCACTACGCACGGGACGAGTGGTCGATTTGAGACACAGCCCAGTCAGTCTCCTCTGCCACTTTCCAGCATAATTAAAACGAGGCTGAAGTCAGCTTCTTAATTGGGAGCTTCTTGTTCGAATTTTTCCGTTCCACCTTAAATGGTACAGCTTAAACGGCGCAGCAGTTACATTGTATTATAACCTATACACCATTTAAGGCAGAATTAGATAATTCGAACAAGAAGCTGGAGGATAAGAAACTGACATCAGCCTCGTTACAAAACGGGAGCTCGCACTGTCGCCGTGATTTCTTGGAAATGTCTTCGGTTCGGACCCCCCACCCCCCAACAACCCCCGGGGGGTCTCAGTCCAGGTCTATGGAGATGCAGCGGCACTGCTTGACGCGCTGCACGCGCTTCTTCTTGGTGGGCGGCTGCAGGTCGGGGCAGTTGAGCGTGTAGGTCATGGTGGTGAAGCGGCGCGGCTTGCAGAACGAGCAGGACTGGAAGGCGCCCTCCTCCTCCGCGCGCACGTGCCGCGGGATGTAGAAGGAGTTGCACTGGCCGTAGCAGAAGCGGTTGATGATGGTGAGGCTCGCGCAGCCCTCCTCGTGCAGCGTCTGCTTCAGCGGCTGTGTCTTGCACCAGTCGCGCTTCAGGTAGCGCCGCTCCGTCACATGCAGCGCCTCCTGGCTCGACTCCAGCACCTCCTCGGCGGAGGAGGCAGAGGCGGCGGAGGAGGCGGAGGAGGAGGAAGAGGAGGAAGGTGAGGATGCGCGGCGGCGCTCGGACTCATTGGCGCTGCTCTTGGCCGGGTGAGGAATTGCGCCCTGAGAGCCGCGGTTCCCCTTCGCGTCCGACGCGCGCCACACAAGCGCAGAGGCCAGCAGCAGCAGGGCGCAGAGGAGGCGCGAGACATCCGCCATCCTGAGGACAGGACACAGAAGCGGTCAGTGGCCGCAGGAGACAAATCAGCTACTGAAGCTACTCAGAATGCAACTGTGCATTGAGACAGTTTTTTAAGCTCAATTTGGAAAAATGGCATCATGAGCTAGAAAAAATGCTCTTTAACATGCTATAAATGTAGGGATTGGGAATAAGAGAAATGACTCATGACTTAACATGATGCCCTAAAACTAGTGTCACTAATGCAAGTAGCACTTAAGCTAAGTTTAGACAGCTACACAATTTGAAATAGTATCATAATGGACTTTCTGAAAAGGGAGGAAACTGTGCATGCAGAGGCTTCAGAGCTCTCATGTGATGCCCTATAAACTGGTTTGACAGAACTTTATATAAGAATTGGAATGCACAAGAATTTATGGACACCTTTTTTTGGAAAAATAAGCCTAACATAGAAAAGCTATCATAAATCAGAAAAAACACTCCATAATAGCCAAAAATGTAAGCGATGTAATTAAGAGAAATGACTTATTACCTCAAATGAAGCTTTCAGAGCTCTCATGCAATGCCCTACAAACTGTTACGACAGAACTTTGTATAAGAATTTGAACGCACAATAATTAACTATTCACAGGAATCTTGTGTATTATTAAGGCACTAATTTGAAAAAAATTCAGAAGCCCAACATGGAAAAAGTGTCATCATGAATCTGAAAAATAAGCCTTGTGCATTCATTCCCAAATGACTTATGACCAAAAAATGATCCCCAAAATCTATTGTCGCAAAAATGCAAAACTTCAGCCAGCAGCCCAACGTGGAATAGTGTCATCGTGGACTTTATGAGGCTATTCAGAACGCAGATCCTGAATTTTAATACACAAGATTTTACTATAGACAGGAATATGTGGTGCATTGCTAGTGCACTGTGGTTTTATCAAAGCAACTAAAAAAAAAAAAAGGCTGAATCCCAACAAGTGCCATTACAATTCAGAAAAAAAAAAATGTGCAGTCACTCCCTAATATCCTAAAAACATAGGCGATGCAATTAAGTGAAATGACTTATGACTGCAAACAATGCCATGAAACGAGTGTCACAAAAAGCACTAATGCAAATGTTATAGTTGAACTAAGTTTAGACAGCCAACAAACATGGAATAGAATCATTGCAGACTTTGTAAAGCTACTGAGAATGCAACTGGGCGTGTAAGGCCTTCAAAACTCCCAAAACTGCCATGTCAGAACTTTGTCCACTGGTGTGGCATTATTAAACCCACTTAGCTCAACGTGGAAAAGTACCATCATGAAAAAAAAAAAGAAAATAGCGCTTAAAAGTTGGAATAGTATCGTTATGGACTCTCTGAAGTTATTAAGAACACAGCTGCACATGAGAAATGCTTGAAGAAAGTTCAAGTTCATCAAAAAATGGAATTAACACAGTTTTTCTCTTACCCAAATGTAGCTGATCAGTCAAGATGTGCTTGGTCTGAATTTGCTTTTTTAGTTTTGCAATGGAACTACAAGACTAATCAAGACTAATCTAGCTAAGAAGTGGTGATCACTAAAAATGGCATTAAAGGACATCTTGAAGCCTAAACTTTGTCTGTATTGCTGTTCATGTCTAAAGATAGATATAGTCATAAAGTGACATATAAGGAAGTCTGTTCGAGAGTGCTCAACAGCTCACTACAGTTTAAAGCCAGTCTTTGATGATTTAGCAGCTGTTGCAGACTTGCAAGATGCTACTTGGCCCACCATCCATTTCATTCCATTACTTCCATTATTTGTTAGCTACATTAGCCTTTTAGCTCCAGTGCGAAACTAAAGAAGCAAACTTGAGACCAAATGTCCTGATTGATCGACAGTATTTGGGGTCAAGCTCTATAAATTAGATTTTTTTGCCAAAGCATTCATTTGAAAGTGATTTCATTGGCTTAGATGATGCCTTTGTATTCCACTTGTAAAACCTTTAGACGAAAGCCAAGCATGGTAAAGTGCCATCATGGACAGGAAAATAATATCACACATGCAAGTCATATGTTTAGGAAAACTGTGTGTGAACTCAAGTATAAACTGGAGTCCCTTTTTATTTGAATGAAGCTGTCGAATGTGGAAAAGTGCCACCATGGAACAAGAAAAGGTTTTGGTGCATGAACTCCATGCAAAATTGTCTTTAAAGCACAAAAAAGCTTTTTGCTAATACTCTGTACATGCAAGGCTGGAAAATAATATCACATGCCAAAAAATGGGGTTACAGAACTTTTGCAGTTGAAGTAATACCACTCATGCTACTTTAAGCATGTTCGAACAGCAGTTTCACATGTTGAATGGCCACAGCCCAGCTGTAGGGAAAATGCCATTGAGGTACCAAAATAAAACGAAATAATCTGAAATACTTTAAAATGTGCTCTGCACATCAGGTTTTTACTGCATTATAAATATTTATGTGTGCTTAAGGGAAACAACGCCTTGGTCTCTTAAATGAAATGATGGCCAACTTTATGATGTTCATTATCAAAGCACTGATGCCAGGTTTGGTATAGCTGTACCTTGGATGAACATCTAATGGCACCTATTTGGATTTTATTTTGATTACCTGTCATTTCCATTATTGAATTTATGATCAAATTAAGATTCTTTTGTTTTGTTCAGTTTTAACATAAGCGATTTTTTTAAAAAGTGATAAACCTCACGTGGCTTCATCGAATTGAAACAAACCTTCCAATTTGTGCTCAGAGAACATATGGAATAAAATGTCACATATGGACATTAATGGGTTACAGAAAACGTTTATACCAGGCAGCAAATCAAACTAAGTAATCCAGCATGTCCATGTTCAACTGCCCATAAGACTATAAAAAAGTGCTATTAAAGGAGCACAAAAATAACCTAAATCCATCGTTTTCAACAGGATGAGACAGAAACAGATCTGTTCTAGATTTGGTTTTCCATTACACATTACACAGGATTTACGTCGAAAGACTCCTTTTACTAAGATGTGCCTTTTACTAAGATGATCCGCCAACTGCAAACATTAAAAGGCAGTGTATCAGTTCCGAGCTTCAGAACCATCATTACCAGACAGAAAGACCTCCAGAGAAGAGTGAAGACACAATGCTGACCTAACAATGTTAAATGAACTCTTTAACAAAGACCTTCAACACAGGCAGAAAGCCTCCTGCGCCTAAAGCTAAAGGACACCTGCTTCTGGACCACCAGCTCACTGAAGCTGAGAAAGCGTAGAGCCTGTGCATCCTCACTGAACTCCAGCATGTAGATGCTCGGATCTCTCACCTGTCAGTGTCCCGGGACGACGAGGGCGAAGCCAAGTGGTCTTCCTGGAGGGATCCGAGGAGAGAAAAGAGGCTGAGCGAGGTAAACGGGGTCAGCAGGAGAGAGAGAGGAGCCAGTAAAGCTTACAGAGATAGCGAAAGAAAGACAGAGGCAGCGGTGGGCTTTTAATCCAAACTGCAGCAGCGCCTCACTGGCTCCTTTTTAAATGTCTGCCAGCTGAGCCGGACGCTGCGCTCCCCTCCACGTTATTGGCTCAGTACAAACTTACCGCCCCCTCTGCTCTTCACCACACAGGCGAAAGAAGCCGCTGAGAGGAGGAGGACGATGATGGAGTGATGAAGATCTTGAGCTCGAGGGAACAACAGGCCGCCAAAAATCACGGCCACACAGCAAAACACCCACAACGAACTAGTAACTACTATGAGTGCCCATTTCTGTCCAGCTGAACTTATAGAAACAGTAGACGAGCGATGTTTCACCTTTGAGAACAGCCTCGAAAAAGTTTGACCTGCTGCCCCAATTAAATAAACAAAATTTAACACAAAAGTAAACAAAAACCTATTTAATCATAGAATTTATTGATAGTATAATTAGAAAGGACTGATTACAGCTTATAAACGAATACATGTCAGAGTGTGACTGAATTAGTAACATATTTCAACGAACAAACCATTAATGTATTTTATCATGGAATTTATTATTGTAAAGGTCAGTTTAAAAGAAGTTTTTAGGAATATGCTTTCTGAGGTCTCCGTCCTCTTAACACCAGCCATACAGCTGATTCACTATATCGCTCATAAACCTCCAACTTCTGCTCCCTTGTGTTTTATTATAGCAGCTGCCTTTCTAAACAATGGGCCACAGAAATAAATACACAGAGAACATTAACACGCCTGTTCACAGAACTCCAGAGATATTTGAAGAGAAAAATGTGACTAAACTAACAGATAGACCACTAAAATAAACTTCAGCTGTCCCACAAGCTGTCTCTCATCACGGAGCTGAATATTCCCGTCCTCCTTCTTCATCAGACAGCTCAGAGCCAAACTCTGCACAAATCCCCTCTAATGGGAGTGAACTCATCCAGAGTTACCATCTTCAGCGCTTTAATTCGGCTACTGCGCTCCATTAGACACGGGCGGATGTGGTCAGGCCTGTGTGCGTCCACTTCCAGGGGGAATTAGCCTACAGGCTTGGCCGGACATCTGCAACTTCAGACCGCGCTTCTCTAAAGCCAGTCAGTATTACTCACTCTGACACGAGGAGTGAAAGAGCAGAAATAGCTCAGTAGCTCATGTCAATAAAACATCTATTAATTTTGCAGAACGGCACTGGGGCAGGAAGGAGGCATGGTATAAATTCTTAAGACGGCCGAAATAATATGACTGCACAGTATTCCTCATTATTTAAAGTAGCGCTTTATATATTTAGTAAAAAAATATACCTCATCCTTATTCACAGAGAGCAAATGCTGAAGGCAGTAAAAGTTTACCTTGTACATTTTAAATGACCGGGAGGTCAGAGAGGAATGTCCTGCCTATTATATCCATTCTATAAACGAAATCATTAATATAGTTTAGGTTAACTAACCATTTTAAAATTTAAATGCTGAGGCTAACTGGTCACCCTGATCTCAGTCCCCCATTTTATTAACGTGATCCAGCCTTTGGTTTTATACGTCTTACTTGAGATTACTCGAGTTTAGAGTTTGTAAAACTTTGGGCGCCACCCTGTGGCGCAAAAAGGAACTTCAAAGAAAACAAACACGTTTTGAAGTGGCAACTTTACGCTTTATAAACGAAGCTCCAAGACATTGCATACAAAGCAGACTGACAAAATTAAAAAAAGCTCAAATAGTAAAATTTGTAATACTGTTTCATTCTTACAAACATATGAGGTACATCAGAATTTTTTTAAAACCCACTTCTTCATTGACATTGCTGCTCAAGACTTTAACCATTAAGCTTGGAAAATAAATACAATGTAAATAAGGTCACCATCTAAAATCCTTCCATCCAGATCACACAGACATACAGCCACTCTTAATACAGACAGCAACCTCTGAGATCAATCACTCTTTACACTTTCCCTGGCTCACAGCTGCACTTGCTAACTTCAAGCTTTCACTTGCTAACTTAAGTTACAGGACACATCCTAGCACATTTTCTCGCTTAGGAGAGTCGGATTAAGACCCTTTCATGTTACATGACCAAGAAAACTCTAGTCATAGACTTGAGGGCATCAGGACTTATCCTGATGTACTGGAATAACACACGATTACAGTGCTTCTGCCAAATTAGCAGAACATCCTCACCAATATTCCATCAAAATGGGGCTAATTCAAAATTAGCCTCCAGATATCCTTAGAACAGCAGGAGTTTGATAAAGAGATCAAAGCTAAAATCATATAATGTGAATTAGGTTTTACCCTGCATTAGAAAAAGAAAGGCATAAAGCACAAGGTTGATTTTCAAGTACACCGTTTGGCCTGTTGTCACATTAACCAAACCACGATAACCCTCAAAATCTGAAATATAACCGGTCATAACTAAATTAGATGAAGTTTGAAAAGCAAATATGAATACAAAAACATCAGCATGAACCTAAAATAATTAACAGTTCAAACTTGCAAATAAATTAAGACCCCTGAATAGACGAGATGGAGAAACAGGCCAAAGCGGTCAACCTGATGAAGCAGATCACACTTGAGATGTATCGCAGTCTTAAAGGTCTATGGGTTTCATAGCAGAGAGCAGTTTGACCTGCGTAAGTGGGTTCTTGGGTGAGCCTCTGTAGTGACTCATGTCTCTCTCAGCTGCCTCAAGCAGGACAGACTTCGGAAATTCCGATGGGATACCTTTAGCTGAGAAGGCATCACCCTTTGCCTTGGGTGCCTCCGTATTGGTTATATCTCCCAAGGGACAATGCATAATGGTGCAGCAAGTGGCTGACTTTATGGGGGGCTCTGGTGGCTTTGGTATAACTCTCTCAACAGGAGTCTCACTAGGGACCTCTGTGGCTTGACCTTGCAGCAGCACGTCAGCGGATAGGCCACTTTCTAAACTCAGCGCTTTCATGCCAGAGGATCCTCGACTGGCAGCACACCACCCAGACCGGACCTCTTTTGTCTGGTTGAGCAGGGAGTTAATCCTTCTGACCGACTGCCGCACAGGCGTCCGCTGAAACTTCAAAGGAGACCGGACCACTTTGGGTTTGGGCGAACTGAGAGTCAGCATGTTAAAACGCTGTATATGATCAGACACTTTCGTTCGGTGTGGCTGCACTAGATCCAAAGAGGGTTCTCGCTGTTGGCTCTCATGCTGACTTGAAGATTCCGAAGACGCTTCTACCGGCAATGGCTCTTTAAACTCATCAGGCTGCGAGGTGTTGAGTTCCCTGGCTCTCTCTCTTGCTGCAAATGGAGTAGACTGAACCGTGATGGAACTGTTAAGTCTGAAAGCCACAGGGCTTTGGATGTCAAGAGCATCGATCAGCCGGCTGCAGTTTGCGGAACCTGTTGAGCTGTCCACAATCAAGCAGGTGCTTTCAACACTCACCGAGCTCTCCTGGGTGCTCTTCACCATCATAGAGCTTTCTCCAGTTTCAGTATCAAACAGTACACTGTCTATGTGCAAAGGAGACAAGGGAACTAACTCAATTTGTCCAAAGGTGACATTCTGATCTTCCACTAAGCTTTGTGACACTTGGAGAGAGGAATTTTTCTTTAGTTCAGAAGATACAGGTGAATTTTCTGAAGGTATAGAGAGCTCAGATGAACTGGGGTTATTTGCATTTTCTTCTGTTTTCTCTTTGGGCTCCTCTTTGTAGTCCATGTCAGTAGTACAAAGAGTACTTACAGTAGTACAAAGGGTACTTACAGGCTCATCCAAAGCCCCCCTGACCCTCACAAGAGTAGGACCTGCCTGAGAGGGTTCCTCACTGAAAGACTCGGAACTTGCCAGGCTCTCAGCGCTGGTAGCACAGCAAAGGCTCTTTGGGATGTTACCAACTAAAGGCGGCTTGCTGACAATGATCGGTTCTGAGCAGTAGGTGGTCTTGAGGCATGCGCTCATGGGAGTGTCTGAGAAGGAGCTTCCTGTGTAGGCTTGGGTTCCATCTGGAGTCTCTGCACTCCAAGAGGTTGCAGGTTCCTTAGTGCCACATGGGGTCAGAAGGTTGTTTTCAGACTTACTGATGTACTTGGAGCCTGTGAAGCAGATTTGGCAACAGCATGGTATTGCTTTCACTCACAAAACAGAGAAACACAGACCCACATATACACACAAAAATGCAGCATCACACTGCAGCACAAACTAGCCTGGTTTAAAATTCCTTCACAGACTAAGTTGAGCCGCAAGTGGCCGTATCTTAGGCCAGGGGTGCGGAGCTCCAATCCTGGAGGGCCGGATTCCTGCACAGCTTGATTTTTCCTCAGCTAATAACAAACTTTGGTTGATGCGCTAAAGCAGGAAAGTCACCAAACTGTACTGGCCCTCTTTTCCCCCACCCCTGTCTTAGGGCCTGTTCATACTCTTCAGTCAGCACTTAGCTGAATCTGTGGAAAACTATGAAAATCGGGAAAATTTATCCAGGCTATTAATAAATTTAAGTATATAACCGAACATACACACATTTAATGCATAATTACAGTTTATTTGCAGAATCTAACAATTTGGTTTGGGGATGGTTGCGGTTGTTCTAGCACATTTGATTTTGATTTTAATTTGATTTTCCAATTTGTCAAACTCGGTAAATTAAACAAACTGTATAGTTTAATATATAAAATACAGACAAAAAAATACAAATTTAAATAAAAATTAAATGTAAATCAAGCACTGACCTGTTGAAGCACCATTTCTCAAAACAGACGGACTAAACGTGGTGTCTTTGGTAAAATGAAAGCTGGTGACACTCTCTTGTGTCGCAAGGCGCCAACCAATGACCTCTGACCCCTTTGGCACCGGTAGAGAATGTGAAAGGACACTCTGTTGGAATAAAGGCACCTTCTTTTTACTCCTGATTGTATGCCACATGTGTTGTTAACTGCTATGAGACCTTTTAGGGCTGGAATTACAAGAGCAATTATCGCAAAGAAATGCCAGTAATGAGTGTGTTGGCCAATGTATATTTATTTTAGAGCAAACAAACATTTCAGTATATCGCATCAAAATATCAAAGTATTTCTTAGATGCAAAGAAACCCACACTACCATTTCACAAATGGAAAAAATGTTAAAAATTGTTACATGTTAATATATTAAATGCTTTTCTTTCTTAAAATATTTTATCATAAAAACATTCAGTATTTATAGATTATAGACTAGATAAAAGTAAAATACAGACATTCTTTTCTTAATATATTATAAGATGTGCAAGGTTAAGCAAAATCAACAATCTACAAATGAAAGTGACGCAACAATTCAGATTAGTGTTTTAACAGTTAAAATAAATGGAAAAATGCTTATTCATTTTCACAAAGGCCCAGGTCATAATAAGAATTAAGATAGCTGATTCAAACCTCTCCTTTTAAGTCAACCTTATTTCACTCAGAAACAAAAAAAAAAGAAGTTGTAGAGAAAAATAATTGCAAATGTCTTTCTGCAAATAAGTGCAAAATCTGTGAATAACCATTTTGCATGTCAGTTTCCGTTTCCATGTCAGTTTTGTAAAAAATTTTTGGTTAAATGTATGGTTCCTTATTTCCAGTTATATGCCACTCTCTAAAAAGCTTTATTTCTCTTTCGTGTTTCTGTTGTCTTACAATCAGGCAATATTTAATACACAGTATTTAAGGACAAAATTCTAGTATTAGCTAAAAAAAGTAAAAAAAAGATTGATATTTATAAAGATAGTCTGAGACAAATTTACAGATACATCATCTGAAAGCAACTAATATGTACCATGAACATTAGCACCTCTCTGCATCAGACCTGGATCCCAGACCTGGATCCCAGACCTGGATCCTAGACCTGATTATTGCCCAGCTACTTTTAGTACTCATTAGTGATTACGGCTATGCAGACCACTGAGCTCTTAGAGCACACTTCTGTTCCCATATGCAAACACTGGTATGACATACCTGTGTCATACTGTCGCAAAAAAGGAAGACATTCGTCAACAAAATACCCAGGATAAACTGACAAAAGTGAAAAGAGCAGAAGCAAATAAACAGAAACATCAATCTATCTACTATTAAGCTTTGTGTTGAAGTCTACTATAAATTGCAGGGAAATTACAGCCAACAGTTAAAGAAGTCAGACGAAATTACACACGGACACACAAACATGCAAATTTTTACAGTACTGACAAAAAAAGGCAAATGAAGAGGTTGATTAAGTTGGATTGTGCAGTTTCTTGAGGCAGTTTAAGGAGATGGACTTACACAATCTCTGTTTGTTTTTCCGAGGCTAAAGCGCAGACGCAAGGACTTCCTCATTGCCTCTTTTTTTGCCACTCTTGGAGAAAAGCAGCCAGCTTTCCCTGACTCGGCTCTGAAAAATAAACCATATTGTACAAAACACTGTACAATGAAAGGATCTTGAGCATTCTCTGTTGTTTTCACACATGCCAAGCAAACAATGAAACTCTACATGAAAATTTAGCAGGTTCTCCTTAATGACTGCTTTTAGGCATATAAATTTATTTTACCTACATAAAATTTCCACCCAACCCAAAATTTCCAAGATATATATTAAATATAGATTCAATATATTTGAAAGCTAAATGAAAATGATTGTTTTTTTTCATCTGTATTACTGGTTTTTATTATTTTTTTTCATATATTTTTCTCCATTTTATATTAACTTTATTACTTAACCACTTTTATTGCTACCTTAGCAATAAACTATTAGTTTGCCACTTGTGGCAGGCATGGATTTTACTTATACTAGACTCACAAGTACATGCTAATTTTATACCATTAAGAAACACAATAGCAATTACAGTTCTTAGCAGTGCACGTAGAGAAGAAATTGTTTTGTAACCTCACAAGTAAATTCTTCGTTTATATAATTATGTGTCACCTGATCCTGTTTCTAACAGCTGTTTAATATAATAAGTCTTTACAACTAACTTTAATAAGTAACCCAATTATATAGTCGGACCGCATGGAGAGGCTCCTGCAATCTCTAAGATTTGACTCAATTCTCAAAGAAGTGACCAACAGACCCAACTTCTTGCAGGACTGCTCAGAACAAAGACATGAGCTGAAAATGTAAAACCTTTGATATAACTTTCTTTATTTTAAATCAGAACATACCTGTTAACGTTTCGGCGGCTCAGTCTTTTGCTCTTCCTCCGTGCAGAGCTTGCAGACACTCGGCTACATCTCCCCACAGAGGATAAGGCACTCTGAGAAGAGTCTAGTGTCCCTGAGGCACTGTGCACTGAAAGAATCACATAAAATGTGAAAAAAAAAATTATTTTCTTTTTCCTTTTGTTTTTTGCTAGAATGTATTCTTCTAGGATTTAAAGATTTAAAATCATGAAGCATAATTTAAAGACATCTCTATGCATGGTAAAGCAAACATGTATACAGATTTTTATAGGAAAATTTATATTTATATTTAAAACTCAAACTTATAGGAAACTACGTTATAATTTACAGAATATAACTCAACTCAAAATGTTTGGGCCCTTGCAACGAAAAACAGTATGTGACCTTTTTTGTAAAAACCAACACTGTATGGCATCATTTAAGACCCTATATTTAAAATAAAGATGTCACTAAAACATAAAGCATAATTTGCCTTTTAAATGTAAAAGGCTGTACAAAATAAAACAGACAACAAACTAACTGATAAGCCAAAGAAAATGTGGTTAATATATAACAATTAACAAATGGTTTTTCATTGGAAGGGCTCATTAATAAAATATCTAAAAACATCTAGTTTACGTGATCTGATGTATTGTAAAGCTGTGACGATTACATGATTAAAATCATATACTTAATTACAAAAATGAATCGACAAATTTCTGTTCTTGATCAGCTTAGTAATTAGTTTGTAATATGAATCATAGAGAGGGTAACAGGTCATTAGGTGTTTAGCAGTCTGAACATTCTCCACAAGGGGGAGTAATTAGTATTCAAGTCTTGTGTGCATCACTGAAAAAGAAGAAACCCACACCAGCAGGATCTCACAACTGCCTGTACGTTTGCAGTTGCAAATTTACATATATGCAGTATTCAGTTTAACTAGGGCCAAGTTAAATAGCTATGCAGACAGCTAACAGGTGACTCCAATAATGTTCAACTTATGTACAGAACTTACGGCTTGATACTAACACTATGTTGCAATTTCCATACAGGTGCTATCTGAAATTAGCATTAATAATACAAACCCAGTTCCAAAAATGTTGGGACCTTTTTGTAAATACACATTCATTCTAAATGTCATCACTGAAAAATGTTCCAAAAAAGTTAGGACAGGAGCATGTTTACCACAGTGTTACATCTTTCTTTTTAACAGCACTTTTTTCAGACAGAGTACATGCTTTAAAGTACTTGCCAACTGATATGCTATGTGAAATGCAGCTTCAACAGACAGCTCTGTCTAGGGACAATTATCAATAAAGCTGTTTTATTCAAAATATCAAGCTGTGCATTCAAGTACCGGGCAAACATGCTAAGAAACTGCTACAACAGCACTGCTAACTTGCGCCACACTGTGCACTGAAGCTAAAACCAGCTAGTGATGTACATGAGAAGGATGATATGGTCTCTATACAGCCTGTTTTACAAAGACAATTTATTTAAAAAATAAATAATAAAATCACCGTATTAACATTTATACCTCGCAATTCTATTTAGACAAACAGATTAAAGGGTTGGTAACAAACCAAGTTTTGTTCACCTACATGTCTCCCTCCGTACTGGGGAAGTGGCTGTGATTGTGTGCGTTTCAAAATACTAAAACTGCACAGTGTATTGCTGGCAGCAATATGCTATGGTAGAGCGTTAATGTGACCAGTGTCTTTGCATCTGACTGCCATGGTGTCAGCAACAATTCACTATATGAGCAGAGTCTCCTTCACTGCCAGAGTGAGCTGTTTGTTCATTAGCGCGGCAGCATACACTACGCTGACGTCACATGATATCGGACGTTGGTATCGGTACGTATTTACCTTTTTATGTTTTGTGGATGCAGCAACGGAAGGTGTTTGACAACAGTTTGTCGAAGAAGACTTCCAGTCCCGTGTGTTTCCTAGAGGGTTAAAATACCTAAAATCCTTGCTATTGCTCGCTGGAGTACATTATTTTTAAACTGCTGGATTTTTTGCTGAAGTGCCGAGCCTCGACCATACTTGCTCATAAAGGCCTAAGTCCTTCCTGGAGGCTCCTTTGTGACCCAAAAATTATTGCAACATCTGTTTGAAATGTTTTTGAACATTTCACAACATTCCTAGTCTTAAATTGCCATTTTCTTGACTTTTTTGGAACGAGTTGCAGGTATCAACTTCAGAATGAACATTTTGCAAGAAACATTACAACTGATACAGTAAAACAGTAGATATCTTGTTTTTGTACTGTTTTCATGCAAATACAGGTCAAAGAATTATAAATTACTGTTTTGTTTTTATTTACATTTTCTCTACTGTGCTCACTTTTTTGGAATTAGGTTTGTAGGGATGGTACTAAGGTTGCACAGAAAGTGAAGGATTTTTTAGTAAACTGCTGCGGTACTTAGCTGTGACAAGTTAATGAAATGACTGGCTAAAAGCACATTTAACTATTCTCCAAAATATCTCAAATTTTGGCATTAAGAAACAGAACCTACTTACATATGTATTTCTAAGCATTTCTATGCCACAGCTTTTTTTTGGTGTGTTAAAAACACCACAGCATGTCAGGAGTTTAAAGGTTTGAAGCTACATATACTATGTTCTCACAGAGCTAAACAATTTTAAGCAACTACTGGCCATTGTAGAACGTGTTCGGCCTCAATAACCAAAACCGAACTGCAAGGCTACATATATATCCAAACGCTACAAGACACTGCACCCATATGGTCCAAAGACCATAAGTTCAACCTGTCCACAAAAATAAAACACAAAAATGTACTTAATTTGTAACTTAATTTGGTTACACTCTTCAGAAACCTATTGCAGTTAACGCCAATTATCACTGATACATTGTCTGGAGACTCCTTTAAAAATTGCACCTGAACCAGGTGTGGATCCTCCGCCAAACAAGGCACTGGGGAACAATTCCAGGCCAAGATTCTTCTTGATGGATCTACGCTTCTTGTTGGAGAATCCATAACTGTGTCCTGATTCCATGGGAAGTTTGCGCTTAGGTGTAACGACAACAGGGGTGGCAGTGGATAGGACTAAATTAAGAAATTAAAACATTAATCAAAAAGACAGCTTAATTTAAAACATCAACATTACCTTGATTTGAAGCATGAACAGAAGAATGCTTGCAAAAGCACTTGCTGAGTAGATCAACATTTCCCAACCATTTCACCCACAGCATCCTTAAGTGTATAAAGTTTCAAGACACACTGCTTACACTTAGTATTTTGACCTAATACTCAACATCCTCACACACACATTTACACTCAATGTAGGATTAAATAACTACCTAGCAGGAATAGATGCTGTGAAGCTTGAAGTCATAGCACAATGTGCAGAAGCATGAAAACTGTCAGTAAAATTAACACTGGGCAGATAGAGTTGTCCAGTAATAATGAAAGTTTACTGCTTGTATACTTTGTCACAGCCAGATTTCAAATTATCGACATTAAGTTTCATTCTGCGAACCAGTTTTCATGCCGTGTATCTGTCAGCAGCCTAGTGTGCCAGGGAGTAGTGGTTGAGAAACACTGGGCTCAAGAAATTAAAGAGAAGAAATTAAATACATATATAGACTACCCATTCAGTGAAAGGAATGGAATAATTATTCAGATACATTCAGTATAAATCATGCCACTGGGACTAATTTAAGTAAGGACAATTATTCAGTGAAAGATGATGTATAATTTCTATAACCACTTTAAGACAGGGTCTAAGCAAGCACAAGCAAACAGCCAAATCAAGCCATTTATTTAAAGCAGGGCAAGCACACCTACAACAGATGCACCATAAAGCTCACAAATGCTCTATGACCGAATAACATTTCTTTCAATAATTTGGCAAACTCTATGGCAAGCAGATTTTTCATAAGAAAAGATTTATTACCTCAAATCTATTTCAGTTACTGAGGTACCATAACCCTCATGCATTCAATAGTTGTGCAGCCAAGCCTAACCTGAGCATATTCTATACCCACCTGTTCCATTAGGCTGAGGTGTATGTGAAGGGGTTCTATTACTTTTTAATTTATTGAGAGCTCCATTTACCACATCTGGAACGCAAGACAAAGCCACTCATCTGTGAAAGCCTATAGTTTTTAAATACTTAAAAAAAAAAAAAAAGACTGTGTTCCATTCCATTCAGTTCCAACTATGCAACAAGTAACCTGTATACAAAGTGTACGTTTATTTAATGGAAAAAGATCATTATTTTTAATTCACACACACACAGATCTCACCTCCTAAACTACGCCTGCATCTCTTTGCCCCTGAAGGTGTGTTTCCGTCCTCCACAGCATCCGACGGTGAAAACAGTCCAGCCTCACAACCCAGCATTGCGGGAACTCTGGCCATGAGGAACTCTGGCACCACACCTGGAGACAGATACAGACACACAACAGCACAAATCTATTTAATACTTACATTTCAAGAACAAATGTTGTAATGATTTTTGTCTGCCTTTTGATCTTAATTTGTAATCATAGATGTGATACCCAGGTCTTCAGCATTATCAATGAGGCACTGCACAACAGCAGCTTGAAGTTTTAGTTTCTTCTCAGTGCTGGCATTCATTTTCTCTGTCCCTTCTCCACAATGGAGGAGGTTTGGAGCGAAAATAACAGAAAGGTTGCTGCTGTCCATTTTGTTCTCAGCACACCTGAAAAAGAAAGAGGTTAGATTTTGCATTATACTTCAGGGATGTTTCTCCAGAACGCTGGGCAAATTAATGTGCATAAGCACAATAAATAGGGATCCATGCAGATACTCCAGAACTCTGTTAACCCCTCGAAGGGCCAGTATTCAAGTACTGAAATCAAAATTGGGGAAGTCGTTCCGTTTCAGCACAGGAAACCAGAGAGGAAAAAAAAAAAAACATACAGACTAATAACTGAATGAAAGAAACTCAAATACCTTAAAATGAGTGCACTGCCAAGGATGTGACTGGGAAGGCAGAAACACCACAGTTTTATTGCCAGCTAGGCTAGCTAGGTCCAAAAAGCTAGTGAATATTGCTTCGACAAACTGTTGGCACATCGTGTACTGGGGAGAAAAGACCTCGTGCAAGACGAGTCCTCATCAGCATCTGGTGTTATACCAGTTAGCTGTAGTTTTAACTCACTTCTGAAGATGTAGCCTCTGTTTCATTTATCATAAAACTACTGATTCTTCCTGGTGTCTTTAAATAATTTGACATGTTATCAAACGTTCCTGTGCATATTTATTCTGGACATATTTTTTGGCTTTATAGAAAAAGCTGTTCATGAAATGCTGACTGTTCCTTAGCCTTTCTGTGCACAAAAAACTTAAATAAATGAGTGCATGTTCTAGCAATAAAACAACTGGAGCTTTACCTACCATGTAATCTTTTACAAATGTCACCGCTGTAATTACTCTGGTATAACCAAGTATCAAATCATTGGCATTCAGTACCAAATTTCAATAGCTAAGTACTCAGTCTTAACATCCGAGAGTCAATAAGCATTCTTGCCCTATAATGCAGACCTCTGACTGGCTGTTGAAAACATTCTGAAAGCATGTTACCGCCAGCGCTTCTTGATTAGTCTGCATTTCGTTACTGTCCGTAAATACACCCACTTCCTGCAGAGCATACTAAAAATGTTCTTGTTTAAGTAAAAAACCTAACATCAGTTTTTGAATACACACGATTGGGTAATAAGCAAATATATTATGACAAAGTTTTTTTGCACCTCACCTCTGAGAGACCCTCTTTAGAAAACTGAAGAAGTAGCGCAGTGTGTTTAAATTCCCATGAGGTAGAATGCAGGACAGCAGGATGGTGGCTGATGTTCTCTCTTCCACAGTGGCCAGTTCCTGGGCTTTCAGAAATGCATTGTGCAGGTCTGCTGGCAGGATTGGCTCAGGTAGCTCCCTAAAGAACTGTTTCAAAAGTCCAGCGATGTCCAATGGAAGGGCAGTGGACAGACACTCTTCAGCCTGATCCAACTTTGCCTACAGGGTCAAAACAACAGAGCCACTGTTTAACAGGGGTTCCAGCTAGGGCCTCTCCATGAAAGGTCAGAAAAGTCAAGAAAGGCCATTACTCACCCTAAGCGCCTTCACTCGAACAATGGAACCTGATTTTCTAAACAGGCCCTCTGTGTCCAAATGCAACATAAGGCATGTACAGGCATCCACAAGGAAGCTACACAAGGATGGCAGATGTTAGAGCTGTTGATGGAATACTGTGTGGTTTTCTCTCTCACTCTCTCTCTCTTTTTTTTTTTACTATTGTATATTACTAATACACAGCAAACTGCGTGCTACATGAGGTACAAAAGAAAAAAATTAACACTAATCAGAGTAGACATTTAATTATAAGGGAATGAATTCTTACCAGGGTATATCTCCGTAATCTAGCACATGACAATGTGGCAGACTTTCTAAAGCAACTCCAAAAACCTTGACCTAAAAATAAGCAGATCAAGCATAACATCAGATTACAATTAAGAATTAAATTTCTATTTCTTTTCAAGTTAACCTATGCTTTGAAAGAAGCAAATCTTCTGATACCTATTTCGACAAGCCTACACAAGAGAAAAATGTCAGGCCGAGCCAGCTGTTTATGAGCAATGTTCCATAGCTGTAGGGCACATCCTTGTTTGGAATCTAACCTGATCAGACTCTCAGGTCAGTGAAGCAAATTAACATTCCTGAGACACTTCTTAGGAAAAAAAAGATGAACAAGCACTACACTGTTCATTTGAAAAGCAACAACACTGAAAACTGCCCGCCTGCCCTTAAAATTCAATTACTTAACTGACGACCAGCGGAAAGTAAAACGCAGCTGCTTTGTGTAAGTTATGAATATGACTGAACTAAAAAATACCCTAAAACAGCAGTTAATGATATTTGACACCTACATAATGAAAAATATATTTAAAAACCAAAACAGTGCATGTTAATCCATTCACTTTTACATTACATACAGCTAAGTAAAAGTAAAAAGACAGCCCTGAAAAAGATGATGGGGTTGCAAGAGAATGACACCACTATCTGTGACTGCTTTAATCAAATCTCTGAAATCTCTATTTACTGAAACCGATAGACTTTGCAGAATCACCGACTGCCAACATCTGTTTATTGTGTTCAGTTCACACAAAGGTAATTTGAGTGCTTATATACTAAATAGTGCTACTTGTAGATGCATACATGCAAACGACATCTAATCTTTTCATGGTGAACTATTCTTGGTGAACTAAATCCAGAGACCAAAAATCTCACCATTAACAAAAGCGCTAACGACAGTTTGTTCTAGCTGGTAACGTTAGCTGGTTGTTATGTTCGAGGGATACACAGATATTGACAGATCGGTTCATTTTTGTTTGATGTGTAACAATCAATTTTACACTGTACTTATTTACCTGTATGAATATGACTAAGGGATCACAACAGTACAATTCACAACCCAGACATGCATGTGCTTCAGCTTACGACTGGGAGTAACAGCCTTTCTGATGTGCATCTGCTTACACCCAAGAGGAAATTGTGCAACTTCACTTTTCACTGTGACAGTGACTTTAGTGACAATGACCTGATGGCTTGCTAAATAATCGAAGTTCACATCACAAGTGCAACTTACGCACTAAACACTCAAAAAACGCGTTTATTTTAGAAGCACTGAAATTTGTTTTATTGAATTTAATGAATGCGTTAAAACGTGTGTAGATTACACCGATACTGCACTTAGCTGGAAGTTGGCAGAATCAGGGAGTTCAGCTTCACTTACCGAATTGTCTGCTGTCAACTTGCTGCTGCTCGTTTTGCATTTGTTCCAGTTCTTAGTCTTTATTCCATACGTTGCACGTAGGTGCTGCACCACCGCCAGGCGTACGACGTTTCTTTCCACGGTTTTCATTATGCCTTGTAGTTTCTCAACTCTCGTGGAAGATAACTAACTTAGTAGGGCTAATTTACAAAGAAGAGAGCTGATGTGACGCCACAGACGAGCCTATTCAGTAACGATACACAGTCACTCTGAAAATAAATAACGAGCCAGCCAGGAAAGAAGTTTAACGTTAACTAAGCTAACCTAGTTAACTTGGTCCTCGGCTCTAACGTAAACCGTTCACGGTAAACGAACAATTACAGATACGTAGGAAATAGTGGGAGGTCTTATTATCTTTACTACATCGACTCAATTCAGAATATTAAGCCCGGAGTTGCTATTTTTCATCTTTTAGCATAACTAGCTAATTAGGTTAGCTAGCTAGCGTTAACTGTTAGGTATCTCGCTAACTCCGAAGTTTGGCAGCTTAGCTACTTAGGTTTACGTCGAGTAAAATGCGCATTAAGAGATATCCAGTTACCCATCTGTCCAGCATTTTGACAAACTTAACATTCCTGCGGCTTAAACTGTTCAGAAACCGAATTAAAAACACCCCCTACATAGCACACGTCCCTGTTTTCTCCGAGTCTAACTCGTCGCCTTCCTTCTCTGTAAACTTCTTTCAAACGGCAGCGCTGCTCCACTCCAGCGCTCTGATTGGCTGCAGATTGTTCAAATTTCTCAGCGCCTGCGTCACCACTGTCTGTCGCGCCATGTGATTGGTTACGCCAGTCACGTGACTGGGGTCTGTGGAAATACTGATGAAAAGCTTCTGCGGTGAATTTCAGGTATTACTGTACAGCAGGTAATAGGGCATACTATAATAAACTCACGTTTATTCTAGTTTAAGCAGATCACTGTTGTCGTATTCTTTCTTAAACGAGAAAAAACAAGCACTGCAAAGTTTTATTCAGAAAAGTCAGTCACAAAAGTAATTTAATGGGTGACTATATTAAAGCATGGCTTTGTCATTCAGGACCTCCATCACGCGCGCCCCATGTTAATATATAACACCATGTCCAGTATTACAGTAATAATAAACACTGCACCATATCACCTAAACTGCCATAATACAATGACAGAAAATATGATGATATTTGTTGTTATTGTGATAAATTATGTCACTTTACCTTACAGTACGCTTTTCTGAGCATATGATTGATGCTGCAGTACATAAAAAACACTGACCATCTGCATGTGTCATTGCGAAGAGAGCATACTTAGTCCTGTTTAACTGGACAGGATGTAACAGCACAGGATGTGACACACTGAATAAAAATAATTGTATTCATAGTTTTTTTTTATATTTTTTGATGTGAAACCTTCCCATATGGAAAAAATATATTCCAAATGTATTTAACAAATATACACCGATCAGGCATAACATTATGACCACTTCCTTGTTTCTATGCTCATTGTCCATTTTATCAGCTCCACTTACTATAAAGGTGTACTTTGTAGTTCTACAATTACAGACTGTAGTCCATCTGTTTCTCTGCATACTTTGTTAGCCCCCTTTTACCCTGTTCTTCAGTGGTCAGGACCCCCATGGACCTTCACAGAGCAGGTGCTATTTGGGTGGTGGATCATTCTCAGCACTGCAGTAACACTGATGTGGTGGTGGTGTGTTAGTGCGTGTTGCGCTGGTCTGAGTGGATCAGACACAGCAGTGCTGCTGGAGTTTTTAAACACCTCAGTGTCACTGTTGGACTGAGAATAGTCCACCAACCAAAAATATCCAGCCAACAGCGTCCTGTGGGCAGCGTCCTGTGACCACTGATGAAAGACTAGAGGATGACCAACACAAACTGCGCAGCAGCAGATGAGCTATTGTCTCTGACTTTACATCTGCAAGGTGGACTGACAAGGTAGGAGTGTCTAATAGAGTGGACAGTGAGTGGACACAGTGTTTAAAAACTCCAGCAGCACTGCTGTGTCTGATCCACTCGGACCAGTGCAACACACGCTAACATACCACCACCACGTCAGTATTACTGCAGTGCTGAGAATTATCCACCACCCAAATAGTACCTGCTCTGTGAGGGTCCATGGGGGTCCTGACCACTGAGGAACAGGGTAAAAGGGCAAAGTATGCAGAGAAACAGATGGACTACAGTCTGTAATTGTAGAACTACAAAGTACACCTATATAGTAAGTGGAGCTGATAAAATGGACAATGAGCATAGAAACAAGGAGGTGGTCATAATGTTATGCCTGATCGGTGTATTTTTGCAATATATGAAAAGGGCCCAGAAATATATATTTTTTGTTATATACATTTTAAAATGCATTTATTTGTTTGTGTTATTATATTTTTTGTCAATTGTATGTAGTTTTTAACAAAGGTTACATATATAACTAAACATACATTTCTGGTGCTTTGTTTTTCTTAAGCACAAGGAACAGGAAGTCCAGCTCCACACTCTGAACATAAAGTTTTAGAACAAAGATGGACAAACATTTATAAAATCTTCTGTACATTCAATAAAAGTTTCTTCTTTTTGGCTCACTATTTGTAGCAGCCACAGTAGCTTAATCCAAAAAAGTGTCATGATGGAAACAGACCATAACTGCATAAGCAAGAGTGGTAGTAATGGTTTGGAATGCTCTATTTACATAATTACCCATAATTCCCCAATTAATAATAAACTTCTAGTGTATTATAAATGATTGTTTATACAGCTTACTGAAGGGATGTGAAGATCCCTTAGGGAAGACAACCAGCACTGCTGGAGAGGAGAAGGATGGAAGCTAAACAGAGGAGAATGACAGAAGATTTTGAGAGATGGGGAAAACAGAATGAGTCATGTGGAAAAAGAGAGAAGGAGAAGAAAAACTAGTTGGAAGAGGAAGAAGGGAAGCAGAATGAGCAAGTGAGCACTAAAGGAAAAAATAGAGAAAGAAAAGAGAAGTCAACAAAAGGTAGGAGAAAGAGGAGTGAATGAAGAGGGACAGATGAGAATGGAAAGACAGGTAAGAAACAAGAGAAGAATGAGTGAAAGGAGGTGAAAGGTGGAAATGGGAAGGTTACATTTACAGTAACCTTCCTACATTTTTCTTTTTTCGGTAATGTTTCACATAACGCCGTTATGTGTATTCTGTTACTACCCAACCTTGCTGAGAGAGGCCCCAAAAAGACAGCACCAACCAGAACCAGACTCAGCAGCTGCTCCAACTGCAGCCAGACGCACACAACCAAGCTGAGCAGAATGTAGCTGAAGCAGCTAGAGAGAGGAAAGAGAAGAGAAAGTCTAAGGAGGCCCAACTGCACACAGGATGCCACTGTGTTCGAGTCTCCTGCAGTCAGCTGCAGGCATGCTGATATGATTTGAGGTACAAGGAAATAGACATACTGTGATAGAAAACTCCTGTAAACTGTGAATATTGATTCTGATAAATATTAGCGTGACATGCTAGTCTAGCATGCTAGTAGCATGGCACATCAAGTGTGACCATACTGGGTCACCAGCTAGACCAGTATAAACCAGTTTAGATCAGCATGCATTAGAGAATGCATTACAGTGCTGTTTTTTTCTGCATGGTAGGATATTAAAAATTGTGAAACATTAACACACTCGATGCAACTAATGATCTAATGATCAGGCCCTTCCTGAGGTGAACTAGGTGAATTAGAGCAGCTACGCTACAAACATGCAGGGCGTGGTAGTCCAGGACCAGGATTTAGAACCACTGATTTAAATTGTGGTTTTAACCATTTAACCAAAGGGAAAATACAAAACTAAGACAGTTAATTGGGCACTCTGTTCCATGTATATTTACAGTTGTTGGCATAAACGGAAGGATAAAGTGATAAAAGAAAGAATGGAATAGGAACATTTCAGGAAGACCAGGGCTTCACATCAATAGAGCCATGGTGAAGAATGCCAAGAGCACCAAATTCCTCTTGCAAAGAAGGCAAAGCAGTCTCCGCTTAATGAAGTGATTGAAGAAGGTGAACCTCCCTGTCCTAATACCCACTATGTGTACTTTGTATGTTGCTATGCACATAACCTCTCTTTACATATGTATTATCATAGATTCAACTGCATTTTACAACATGCTACATATCACTCTGTTATTATCACTGTATAGATCCACAGTTAGCATGAACATACTAACTGTGTTACTACTAAGAAGTGTAATACGCTACTACAAAATTATTACTGTAACAACTAGCTTAGTACTCGAGTCTGATCTTGGTCTTGTTATGGTCTCAAGAACAGCTAATTGCAATGCCTTTATTTGAGGTAACTGGAAACTGAAGCTTTCTGTGAAGACTTAACTCGATATTATTTGTTGATGTTCACGGGTTCCAAAAGTCACACATTCCCCGTGGACAGATTGGAATGTTTTAATTACTATGTTTTCATTTGATAATAAAACTTTTTCTTTGCTTTATGTTCAGTTCACTTTAGGTGGTGATTCTGATAGAGAATAACCTCCCCATCATTTTTTCCAGACGTTACAATGCAAAGTTGGACTAACAGTATAATATAATGTAAATAAATAATATTTTAGACTATGTATTATTTAATGTTGTATTTTCAAAATGTATTATAAAACAAAGTATTATTTTTGAATATATATAATTAATAATGAATGATAAGGAATATTCAATAAACTATATTATAAACTATATAGTATAAACTATATTTTATATTTATATTCTGAAAAGATGTCTCTTGTCTCGATCTCACCACTCCTGATCTTAGTCTTGACTCAGACTTGCCTCTAGTGGTCTTGACTACAACTCTGGTAACTACTGTCACCACTGTCTCTTTATTGCTGTCAATAATAAGCTTTATAAGATGCTACCATGCCCTTGTGTGGCCTCACAATTCTATCTCACTATAAAAACAGGATTCATTTTAATTTATTCAAAATAAAACAAGAAACTAAGCATACTATTCCAAATTTCATTTTGAAAACTATAGAAATTAGAGGCTAATTAAAGCAATAACATATAACATAACGTATAGCAGTCCAGGCTGCTTTTGTGTTATGTTTTGTGCATGTAGATCAAATAAATAAATACAGTTAAGTTACATTTGTTTGAATAGATTGTATAACAATTATAATACAAATGTTATTTTATTAATTTGAACAGTTAAACAATTAAACAATTTAAGACATAGT